TTTGTAGTTATCTACCGTTTTACTAATTATTTTGGCTTGTCCGGAGCAGTTGGCATCTCTGTATATATATATATATATATATATAATAACATAACCAACATAAAGTAAGGTCCCGCAGTGGACTGATCGTTAAGACACGGTTCCCAGCAAGATCACCGAAGTCAAGCATCACTGGCTACCGTCAGTGTGAGGGTGCGGGACCACTTAGATCAGTCTGCGTTGGGACCGAGGGTGCGCGGTATTGGTCCTCGTTAAACTGTTCCACCTTAAAGTGCTCGACTTCACGCGCAGGTCGTCGTGTTACCGAAGCGGGGGTGTCATCCCCTCCGCAGAGGATCAAAATTGTGATGGCATGTCTTCGGATCATCCTCCGGGATGTTTCCCAGACCGTCGCCAATAGCCCATTGTGCAGCTCTAGTGCGACGTAAATTAACAACAACAACATAAAGTAATAATTACTATATAAAAATTAATGCTGCTCTTTCGCATACACAATGAACTTGGATTTTATTAAATATTCTGTTTAGCTCATAAGTTTACTCCACAACATTTAACTTGTCATGCTTGTATTTTCTTAAAAATAATAAATGTAACATAATAGAGATGTCCAGGCGAAAAGCTGAACTTCCAGTAAAGAGGCAAATGAAGTGACCTCTTCTTGGATATCTCCATATTACGGTAAAATCATTTGATAAAATTATATGAATAAAGCATCAAGTAACCGGTTAGATAAATTAAGATTTTAAATTAATAAATATAACCGAACATTTGAAAATAACAAAAAATATTATACATCAAATTAAAATCTATATTTATTTATTTTTTTAAATATCAAGCAATTATATTTTTATGAATAAGGTTTTTTACTGTTGCGTTAAAAAAAAGTTTAACACGTCTGTTTTTATAGATACTAAGCTCGGATAGATAAAGCTGATGAGTGCCAGTTTTAAGTATCTTTTATGGCGTGAAGTGTGGTTCATTTATCTATTAACTTATATGTGTGGATTTCTTTGTAAATAAAAAGAATGATATAAAAACTCATTTCAATTTCAAGAACAGATAGCGCAAGTATGCAAATGACAATAAGAGATTTGTGATGGCATGCCTTCGGATCATCCTCAGGGATGTTTCCCAGACCGTCGCCAATAGCCCATTGTGCAGCTCTAGTGCGACGTAAATGAACTACAAGAACGACAATAAGAGATAGATCCATTATTTTAGCGGAATATCGAACCCACTACATCTAAGCTTCAGATTGGTTAGTGGAACAGCAATACCATACGCTAAAGAAGACGCTTAGGATTTATTGTAAAGTTAAACAATCATGCAGTATTGTGGCTTCCGCTACTTATGACTTTAGGCGTAGTTTAGAGGTAGCGGGTTCAATACCGTTGTACTTTTTTTCTTTTTTTTATGCTATCTGTTCTTGAATTTAACACAGTGTTAAACATACGAGCCGGAAAATGTATCTGAACCAAATTTATTAACTTATTGTTACACGTGCAGGGTTACAGCAGGTTTCGAACCTGCTACCTCCATTTTACATAGCGTTTGGTGGAAAGGCGAGACTGCTCGGCCTGGAAGCTCCTGCAAAACGAATAATTAAAAAGTCAACATTACTATTTAAAGTTTTAATTTATTGCTACACTTGTATATGAACGTATGTGTGCTTACTACAAGATAATGTTTATAAGCCCAAGTAAAATTGAAGAACAGATAGCTTAAAACAGTGAATGGCATTACAAACATGCATTTATTGTATCGTGTAGGTAGCGGGTTCGATATCCATCGTTTGCCTGGATATATCTAGACTTGATAAGGCTTATATGCCGAACTTTGCATTGAGCACGCATGCCTTCATATGTATGTGTTACAATAGATAATAAATACAAACAAAGAGATACTTCCAGGGTTGCGATGGGAACTCTTGACCTCTACGCCTCCATTTAAAAAGCTTGGGACATCTTCAATGCGTAACAGCTTTGTTACTGATTTAGTTTATCCCTGTTCAGATACATTTATTTTATTTATTTTTACATTTATTGGTAGACATACATGCAGGCTCATCATGTTCTCAGTTACATAAGTACTTGTTATAATCCTTTGTTTTGTAAAAAGACAGACAAGAAAGACAACACTAAAAAAATTATTTAGGGTCATTGTCGGATTTAAACCCGCTACCTCCACACTGCAAAGCGTTTGATGAAAGATATTTCTCGGCGAGGAGGCACATTTGTACATTTACAAATACGCATTTTTAGGGTTAAAAGTTTGGTGGCTGATAGCTTATCGCTTGCATAGACATAAAATCAACAGACGAAGTTAAAAAGCGTTTACTGAAAATAGAGGTTACTAAACCGAACATTTTACGTTACCTCAAAACATACTAGTACTATCAAAATTATCGAATATTTTGATAAAATTACCAAATTTTACCTTACTACCAATCAGCATGAGAACAAATTCCCATTTTATTTTTAGTTTCACCAAAGTACTGCGGTTAAAATTACCGTTCCTTTTGGTTTTTCTAAAGAGCTAAAAAAACAGTAAATTTTACCATATTCTGGTGGCTGCTTTTCTTCTACAAACCCCAGTTAAATTTTGAAACTAATTGCCACAATGAATTTTTTAATTCAAACTGAATCAACTTTAACTTAAAAGCAGTTGTGTGAAATTAATTTTTTTTAACTAAGCTTTTGAATTGTTCTTCATATTTTTCTGCAAATTTTTATAGTGATAATGCGCGTCACTATTATGCTAAAGGCATTTGGTATGTCAGACTTCAACAACTGATATGCACCATCTGATTGAGAATGTGATGGTGGATTGTGATTAAAAGCCATTAAATTAAAGGATCTGCGGTAGAGGATGAATTTTTATTCTTTATTGTTACCCGTTTTAAACGAGATCATTCATTTAATCAGTCATTCCCCGAAATACCCTATTTAAGCCAGAGTAGAATTTTTCCTCGTGTTTTAAGGTTATTTTTTTCCTCAATGTGAAATTTGAACTAACGTTCTAGCTTTGTTTACTAAACTTAGTCTGCGACCATACAATATTTTGTATATTTCAAAACGGATAAAAATATTCTGGTAAACCTACCGTACTATATGGTAATGACATTTCTGGAAAAATGAAACTATAATTATGGTTCATTAAACTAAAATGCAATGTGAACAATTTATTTAGTAATTTTTCCATTCTGGAAAGATATTCTGGTTTTCAAAATTATAGTGCTTTTTACCGCACATTTAGTAAAAAATTCAAAACTGAAAAGTAAATTCAACCGTATAAATGATTTTAATAAGGAATTAGGATGAAATTCTTTAACTTTATGAGATTTACCAAATTTTATCACGTTTTATAAAACTATATTTCATTGTTAATTTCACCGAAATCATTGACAAAAAAATTACTAAGCTTTTTAATGTTCCCCATTGGCCCAGTTACTACTCCGGTAGTTTAGACAGTACTTTTTTTTCGGAATGGGTGAATACTTTGTGCAATTTTAAATATAAATTCCGAAGCGACTTTAAACATAAACCGCCAATATCCCATTTAAATTTGTAACATTTTATAAATTATTATAATTTTTTGTTTCCATGCGTTTCTATAAAAAAGGAAATAAAATTAAATTGATAACTTAACTTCTAACTCTTGAAATAGCTTAATTAACTCCAGCAACGCAAATTGATAAATTAATTATTATCAATACTCACAGAAATAATACTCTCACTTTTTATGATTCACCAAAACTTGAGCTGTATTTCGTTAATTTTGAGAATCATCTCGTCACGAAATCTTCGGATTTTGAAACGGAGCGCAAACTCTCAAATATCTGATGAAAATATTTTCCTCCTCATCTAATTTCATTACAATGCATTGTGGGAGATAGTTAACTAGCATAAAGTCTAAACTATCGAAACTAGAATTACGAAGCATTTCTTTACTTTTGACGAAATTCGTTTCCTCGAAGCAAGTGACGATAGTTATTTCGTCAATTTGATGAAATGTTTGCTCAGAGCATATAACAGGAAACGGTTTCGTCAAAAACGAAGAAACTTTCGTAAAATTTGAATATACATTTTTTTACAGCAAAAATAACATATGTATTATTCATATTCATCTACACATAATTACGATAATCTATTCCGTGCAACTATTCACATTATACTTTCTGAAGCAAATTGAGATTCGAAATATTAAAACTTAGTTTCAAATGTCACTTACTTCGTCATCAAAGTCAATTTTCATAGCTGATTCTGAAAGACTAGCAGTTTTTTGCGGGTTATTGTTTTTATCCGACATTGTATCCAATGTTTTGTCATCAGTCTCTTCTTCTTCCTCGTCACTAATAATATTCAGTTTATTAGTTAATGATGCTGTCGTTACAATTCTTATGACTCCTTTGTGCTTTTTTGTTAATCGTTTGTTATTTGAGTCATTAGGTATCGGAAAATTATCTTCCAGTGATGATGTATTTCGTGACATTGGAGTTCTTCGACTATAAAGGGATGACGGTGTACGAGTTTGATCTGAAGTCATGGAATTAGCGGTTGAAGAACGAAGATCCGATCCACAAATTCCCATATTGTATTTGAAAACAGAAGAGCTACAAAGTATCATACTAACCTATTCAAACACTTCAAATTATAATATTTGATCAAAAGTAAAATTCTTTATACAAACAAAACTTTTCAATACACGTGGAAAAAAATTCTGGTAAAACTACTGTACTTTACGATGTAACATTTCTGATTAAGAAAAACATAATTTCGGTCAATAAAACTAATTCATGCGGTATTCTCATCATTCATTCCGTAATTTTTCCGTTCATATGCTACCAGTTTACCGGAAATTCTGACTATCAAAACTATAGTTCTCATTATCACTTACTTAATAAAATATAAAAAACTGAAAAGAAAATTTAACCGAATAAAAGGTTCTTATACAATATTTGAAAAAATCCTTATAACATTACTACAGTTTAACACATTTATCAAAATTCATCACATTTAATTTAAAAAAAACTATTTTTAACTTTACCGAAATCATTATTAAAATGCTTCTGTAATTCCGAGCTTTTTTGGTGTTTCAAATTCGGTAATAAATAAATGCGATAATTATAAGCAAAAAATACTGTAATATTTAACTTATTCTGGTATTTTGACCACAGTTTTCTTCTCAGTGTATGAAAGTTTATTTAAGTTAACATTTACTATAATATTCTAGTTTATTATGCTATATAATTAGAATGATATCAAATTTCGAAGAGAGTTTTTCCTAGAAAACATAAGAAGAGTATATACCCTTAATTGATATATGTTTCTCAATTTAATTTTACTTTAATTAAACAAATTTCGTTTCTAAAATCTTTTATTACTTCAAAATCATTAGTATTACTATATACAGTGAACTAAAAAAAAAATTTCTTCTTTTTTTTAAAATCCTTAATTTTTTTCATTTTAAATATAACAATCAGGTTTAAAATATATTTTTACGAAAACAGTCTTTACGAGAACAATCTTTACGTGATAACTATATTTGAATATCAATGATGATTACTAAAATAAAAGTGAAAAAGACTTTCTTCAAAAGAATAAATCGATTTTTAATGCGTATCAATTTCATAAATCAAAATCAATTTTGTAAATTATATGCTCATAGTTTAAAAAAGATACACTTTAATTTCATGAGTTTCTGTAATTTATTCTATTACTCGAAACTCGAAAAGAAAATGAAGTATTTGGATTAAATTAAAGCTACGTTACTGATTATTTTGAAATTTTACCTACTATTGGAGGTGAAAATGGATGCCAATGGCAAAATGTTGAATTTCCAACGCCGTTTTCGTATGAGTTTCCATGATATTACAACTTATAGCGTTGAATTATGAATTACACACCACTTTCTTATTATTGTGGTGAAGTATTAAGCGAGATTTATTAACAAATATTTATTATTCTTTGTAACTTAAAGTTGCACTCTCATTAAAATTGAAGTTTGAATATAGCACCAGGCATTTCTTTTAACCTTTTTAATCTACAAAATAAAATTTTTGCTTTTTAGTTTTATTAATAAGTATTTGTCAGTGCTTTCTAGTAAATAAAATATAGAAAGTATAATAAGAAATGAAATTTTACTTTTATTTGATTAGTAGTTTAGTCTGGAAAATCTGTGGATACTTCTTTTTACAGTAGTTAAGAACCACTAAACCTCAGTCTCGCCTTAGTTCTAGTATATATTTTCTGAACTATTGACTATACAAACACTAATAAAGAAAAACAGTATAGCGTTCTTTAACGGTAGGCCATTTTCGTTTTGTTTTTATATTTGTTTTAAACATGTAATTATAAATTCCTTCATGGCTGGGAAAATATTGATATTTACGTTTTCAATCAATACATAATAATTAAAATTGACAGCATTTTGACTCAGTTGTCATGGAAGCACAATGAGCTGAAAGATTTGAATGTTCATTTACATTAAAATTTGCATCGAATTTAAAATTTTATGCAAATAGGAAAGCTGGAGATGTATATCAAAACCGAGGTCTTATATATCAATATATAAACAATCAATATCAGTATGACTTTTATTTTTGTAGATACATCATGTTATTACATGACCCAATTTTATTTTTGTTTTTCAAATTTGTCAACGAAAACAATTAACCTTGATCTTATAAAAGTACTGTCAAATTTTCGAAAACAAATATCCAATTTTCAATATCTTAAGTTTTCAGCTTAAATAAAAAACGTATTTACTAACACGTACAATCTAAAATTAGATTTTCTAATTTTTGTTAAGAAATCTCCTTTACTTTATTATGCATCATAAGTAAAAATATTTTTAGAAATAAGTTTGAATATAATATTATAAAGATTTAAATCAACTGGAAATATTATTTAAAATTTTCAAAACTCTTTTTAGTACTAGTTAATATTAACAGTTAGAAGTTTGGGCACGTCAGTTTAAATATTTACTTTTCATGTATTAGTGAATAATGTAAATGAATTGGATTTAAAAAAGAATTAAGCATTATATAATTTTATCTTTCATTTCGATTATAGTATTCACAGAAGGAAAAATCATACTCCTTTCAATACATGTATGAAACAAAATTTGGTGAAAGAGAATAATTGATTTGAAGAAAAAAGAGGAGTTTTTTTTTTAAATTATATTTTTGAGAAGATGTAGAAACGTCCTCTTAAAAATTACTATCCGAAACTTCAAAATAAAACACATAATATTTTACCGCCCTTTGCATTTATGTATGGACACACTGTGAAAAAACATTTGTATTTTACAGCACCGCTACCACCATCAGGTTCCGTTAAATTTATAGCTAATTTACTGTTTTGAATATTACAGTCATGAATATTAAAGGATAATACAAAAAAAATAAAATCTCTCTCAAGAATCAACACAATCAGTAATTGACTAATATGGTTGTAAGTAAGTTCTTCTTATAACACTATTTAAATTAACAGATGTTCTTTTTCAATTAATCCAGCTGCATAAATTGCATTTTTTCTTTAAAGCCATTGCATCCACAAAATTTACTTTATTTTCCATCCTCACTACCAAAATATAAAAGTTACTGAATATTACGTAAAAAACCACGTATAATTTTGAAAAACCAACCTAAAATGGGGCAAACAATTTTAGTCTGCAGTGATCATTTTGATTAGTTATCTAGCTCACGTGACGCAGCAGAAAATGCTTTAATTAATTACTGATGCTGTAAAATATACACCAAAAATTGGCTGTAAAAACTACAGCAATTATTTTCAGTGCAGATTAAACAGGTATTCATGATATCATATAGGTGTGGATATTCTGAAATGATCACCCATAATATGAGCAAAGGAAAGATAACAACATAATCAATGTGAATACTGATGAAAATTAAAAGTTTTTTTTTAACGATCGTCTTTAAACTTTTTCGTTTCAATTAAACTGGCTTCAATATTTTTAGTTAAGCCTTTCTCAGTAGAGACTCTGTAGTGATGTTTATAACTTTAAGAGGGTTTTTCTTTTTCTTCTTGTTTAGATATTATTTTGTTTGCTCGTTAAATATAAATTCTCCTTTAGATGTTTCTTTCGGATATTACCCATTACTTCTCTCATCCGGTGTATACGAACAATCTTTTATAAAGGACATTTTCGCAGAACAATATTTTTAAATTTTAAGAACTCATTCATTTTTCAATTTATATCCGAAATATTATATTTCAATTTTTAGCTGGATAATAAGTGTAAAGGTAAACTTAGCATAGAGCATGTAATGATTGTCATTCTACTACACAAAGAAACGTTTTAATTACATTTATGTGTTTTGATTGATTGATATTTTTAGTCATTAAGATTTTGAATTGATAACGACGGTAGATTTGTTTTATGAATAAAATTCTATTAAAATATTTTGTCCTTTTTCAAGTGGTCTCAAAAGGAAGCAAATTAAAATATCCTTTTTAATAAGGACATGAATCCATTATCAGATAAGTATCTGAATTTAAATACTATAATGGTTATTCTATTTCATCAAAGACATCCGTCTTATCGTAGTTTGTTATGAAATGAAAAGTTAAAGATTAAGTCAAAGTGATAAGAGAAAGAAAAAGATTCAATTTGACCAAATGAATCATGGATATCAGGTTTAATGAAAAGCGAGCTCTTGTCACTGGTGCGGGAAAAGGTGCGAATTTCATTTTAATATTTAGAAAGTTATAATTAATGTTAAATATGCTATGAATTTAATGAATAACAATAATTATTGGTTTTTAAAAGCCTAAGTATAAAAACAATATATATATATTTACTTTTAGATTATTGTAGATAGATATAGAATATTTTAAATTTATTATTATTTATTACAAATTATAATTAGTTTTCTTATAGATTAAGATTTTGGGGGAAGATAAGATTTGTGTGATTAATTAATTGTGGAAAGTTGAAACACCTGATAAAAATGTTTGAAAGATTTTGGCATCTTAATTCCATTAATTTAAAATATTGATTTTAAAGTAAGAAATATTTAAAAAAAACTTTAACTTCATTTAAATCTTTTTTGTGCAAATGTCTACAATATTTGAAATAATTATTTGCAACATGCAAATTAAAAAACAAAGTAAATTAAAGATATGGAGTAGTATTAAAAATGTATTTTAATGGTTTCCAAGCATTTTTTTAAATTTATTTTATTTTTTCGTGTCGACCGAACAATTTTGATAAAGACAAGGAAGCGGAAAAAATAGTAAATTTATCTACCTTTGCTTAATAAGTTTTCAGCGTGACCAGAAAAATAAGATGATAGAAATTCTATTGAAAAAAGCAATTCTTGAAAACCAACAGGCATCTATCTATCTATAGTCTTTGTTAAAGAAATAGAGGTCTCAAAGTCATGCGATTTTTCATCTTTTCTCATCTCCCGCAGCAATACGTTTGAGTACGAAGTTGGAACATAATTGCGTTGGGGAAAAGGAAAGATTTACCGTAATCATAGTAACGGAGAGAAAAGTGTAGAGAGTGGGGAAATTGCATACGTTTGAGACTTCAATTCTCCCTTGCAATTTAAAAAAATAAAAACGCAAGTACTTCACTATAGATTTCGAGTAAAGTAGTATGACAGCAATTTTCTTTCTATTGTTAATGCTATCAGCCTTAAAATAGAATTTCAAAAAGCTGATAAATTAAAATTTTTCGTTGAATATAAAATTTTTCAGAATAGTCTTAGCATGCAAAATTGCGAGAAACATAAAAATCTTAATTTTGAATTTGCACGTCAGTATTCTATTTATAAAGAGTATAATTAAAAAATTCAAATATTTGCAAATTTCCCAAGGCGCCATTTTAGTTTAAGTCTAAATAAAAGTCTCCAGTAATCCAGTAATTCAGTCTAATAATTTCAGACTTTTTAAAAATCAGCCCATACGCTTTGAAATAGTAGTTTAAAAATTATTTAATCAAGTTCACTTGTCATACACTGGCACTTTGAATTCAAAAGTAGGGTGCATAAGCTTAGTTGAATAAGGCTAATTAGATTATGTTTTCTAATTAGCTTAAAAGTATGTAAGCAGAATATTTGAGAAATGTAATGTTTTTTTTAAAAAAGCACAAAACTAACATTCAATTTCTCATGAACTAATCGACGAATTTTGCACAGATTTTTATTTTTCCATCGAAAATTATGCTCTTTGAAATGATGAAAAAATTTGATACCTAGCAATTCAAAATTCTTTCCAATATTACTAAATGAAATAATAAATAGTTATTAAAAAATACTATTCCCATGGATCTCTTTCTTTTTTGAAAAAAAGACTAATAATTGTGCGATTTTTTTTCTTTAATTCCCTGAAAAAGTTCTCAATATGGCGAAATACAACAAAAAAAAAAATAAATGAATAAAATTAACATTAAAATGTTCAAACTTTGAAGCGCCCTCCTAACCAAACTATTGGGACCATATTTTCCAGATTGCTGCTACCCCTTCTATTTTTGGGGTCAAAATGCGTTTAAAAAAAGGCTGACTTATTCAGAGAAAAAACGTTTTGGTGTCAGTTTTCTACATAACAGTCAAACTTAAAATTTATCACGCTCTAATTAATTAATATATTTGAGGTCACCTCCTTGAACTATTAACGCTGAGCCCTAGAAAGTGATGATCCGATCATAATACCAAGAGTTATTCAAAAGAATCCATTTTCTCTCTCTTTTTGCGCACTATTTCATAAACATGTATCAAACTAGTTTCAAGGTCTTTTAATGCCAAAGTTCAAATTACCAAAGCATCATTTAAGAATATACCTCTAGGGATACTGAAATGAAAATTAATCGTTCACTGTTTGAGGTCAAAATTATAATCAGTAGAATGGATGTATGAATGGGTCCATCCTATAAACGGGTGTGACGAATGGGTGAGAAAGAAGTCGAACTCTTGGTCATAGATGGCTCCACTGGAAAACAAGAACAATCTCCCCCTCTTGCCTTAATGACCTATGACAACAACAAATTATGTCTTATATGTTTGAAACGTTAAGAATAGTTTTCTCAGAATCTTTATATTTACTTATTATTGTATTTTTTTATATATAATTTCGTAGGTATCGGTAGAGGAATAGCACTAAAACTCGTAGAGTGTGGGGCTGATGTAGTAGCTGTGAGCAGAACACAATCAGATTTAGATGAGTTGGTTCAGCTAGTAAGTATCCTCTTCCTCAGAGGCCGATGATGTTTAAAAAAAATTGTAATTTGAAGAATGTAGACATCTCAACCAACAAAGCTAGCTTGTGTTACGGCCTATTTTAATTTTTAAAGAAATCGTAATCATAATTCAAAACTGCTTACTTGTCTGAGGACATTCTATACTATTAACTAGATCACAATACAAGTACAATTTTTACTTACTTGTTATCACAAAATCTATTTCTTAAAAAAAAATTTTAAAAAAAAAACATGCAAATTTGTTACTTTTAATTTTAAAGAAAAATCATTATTTAAGACAGCCTATTTGTTACATTAGTTAACCTAACGGCAACACGGAACGCTAGCATTTAAGGTATCATCGAACATAAGGTTCTCATAAGATCAAGTCGAACACAATTGTGATAATTTAAAAAAATATCTATATTGGTTCCATTGGTAAATTAACAATTTATAATATTGCCCTTTTCTGTAATTTTTCCGTAATTCTAAATGCAATATCTCAAAGCATGTTAGTTCAAATTACTTGAGTTTTACATGAATGTTCCCTTACATATGTTTAGAGAATTAACTATTGACAAGTTTCTTAAACTAATATTTTAGATTTTAAAGTTAAATTAAAAATAAATATAATTAAACGTTTTAGCCTTTTTTTTGCCAAATAAGCTTACGATATTTGCTGTAAAATATCTGAATGTTAGTATTGAGTCTAGTGCGCCATCTTTTCCCTAAGTCTAGTTTTTATGAGTATATTAAAATAAGAATAAGAAAAATTTGTAAATCAAGTTTTAAGCTAAATTTTGTAATTTTGAAATGAGATCAAATTTTGGTATTTTTTGACCAGTTTTCTGCCTATATTTTTAATTTTGTTTCATAATTTTTTTTTTCAAAATAAAACACATATGAATAAATAAAATTTTCTGCAAAAAATATTTCAAATTTTGACGCTGAAGGTGTTCAGGTATATTGACTATAATTTATAATAGATAGCACGACTCGTTTTTCGCATTACATAGAAATTTTAAAGTTTTTGGATCTTTCAAACTATACACAGATGTTAGCTATCTAACTCTTACTTTTCGGAAAAAAATACAAATTGTAGTTCAAGAAAATTTAAACTGCAGTTTATATGCAACTTTGGATAGATTGCATTATTGTGCATTGAGAAGTCGCTAATTACTTAGATTTTAAAGTTACTTAATTACTTAGTTACTTAAATTTTAAAACCATGTCTTTATACTTTTTACTTTTAAGAGTATTGTGTATTAAATCGAAAACTCATTTGATTCTCTGAAAATTTGCAGAGTTCAAAAATTCAAACGTTGCTTTTAGATGTCAGTGAATGGGATAAAGTGAAAAATAAATTACAAAATATTGGACCAATTCATTTGCTGGTTAACAATGCAGCCATTAATGGGGACTATAAAGAATTGGAGGATTTTGATGAAGAAGGAATAAATAGGTAATAATTTACTGCTAAATAACGTAGATTATTCCCTCATACATATCATATCCATTGTTGTGCAATAATGAATAAGTAACAAGATTTTTTATTATTCTATTAATTCTGAAAACCTTAGCTAAACAAAATTTTTTTCCTCATAATTCTATGTAGCTTTTGAATACAAATGGCTTGCATTTGCAAGCTTCTTTAACGCTTAAAAAATTGCTTATTTTAATATTTTGAAACATTTATAATATCTCAAATGTTGAAAACTTAAAGTTTGCATACATATCCTGAAGTTTAAAAAAATATATATTGGCTATTTTAAAATTTTTCAGCGTAATTTTTCTATGATTTCTTAATTCTGTAAAGAAACATTTAAGAAAAAAATCTATTAAAAAATTAAATAATACTTAAGTTTATATATACATAGGTTAAATTTTCCTCAAATAGAAAGAAAATAACAGTTAATTCCTGAAAAAAGCTTAAACTTTTTCTGTTTAAAATTTCAATATTGCATAAGGAATGTCTGAAGCTAAAAATAAGAACACTTTAAGTAAAGCTTGTCCTTTAATAAACGATAAAAGCCATGAATGAATGCAAATAATTGCTTTGAAAATATAAGTAGTTGGTTGTTTGAATGTAAAATAGTTTTTAACTTCGTAAACTCCATCAAGTGTGTCACTAAAATTGTAAATAGCTGAAAATATGGTTATTTTCCTTATGTTAGTGAAGGAATACTTCTATCTAATCTACTTCCTCCTATTTATAGGGCTTTGCTAACATAAAATATCCTCAGTGGCAGACTGATCATTGTTTAAACTCTAATTGCCGTCGGGCTTACCTTGGGTGGTTTTCGTGTTGTGTTTTCCTCTCCATATGAAGCAAATGTTGGTTAGTTCCTTCAAAATGTCCTCCACTAGTTTGTTCTAATGCTTGATCCTAGTGTCCTCTTGTCTGCAAAGCTGGGTTTAAAATTTATAGGCTACGGAGTTGAATATTGATGGTCGTTAACTCGGAATCGGATCAGCTGTTAAACGCTGGTTGTAAAACAAAATAAAATATTTTTTTTGCGTATCATTTTAATTATTGTTAGTTAGGCTAAAAATATATAATATTATATACAAGTATTTTTAAAAATAAAGTGTCTCTCTTACTTAAATGTAATGGAAAAACGTGATAAAAAAACCTATTTAAAAAAATAACAGATTTTTCTCTTTTAAAAAAAGATAAATTTATTTTCTTTAAAAACTTTATTCGATAATTTATTTCTCATAATTTTGAAATCACTTACGCTCGACAATAATTTGTGACACAAATTATTGCTTAGTGCTGAACCTCATTGATAATGAGTTGTGATCCGATAATGATTTGTGATCCAATTTAAGTAGCTCAAAAACATTAATTAAAATGAGTGTTTGCTATTGCTTTTTGTAGAAAAATACTATTACGTACAATACTATAACACCTTTTAAATTTATCATTATGTATTATAGTTAAACCTGTTAAATTGAAATGTTTTATATTCTTGTATTTTTCAGAATGTTTGATACTAATGTCAAGTCAATAATAGCGATTTCACAGGTAAATTCAAATTTTATTTTTATTTTTAAATCCTTAAAAGTGCTCTGTAGAAAATAATTATATTACATTCTAAATTGACAATCATAGCTACTTTATCTTACTTAATAGTTAATGCAAAATTACCCAATCTATATATTTATTGACAAGCAAACCATCTCGAAGTTAATTGGGTTTAGTTTTATATTTGAAGATCTTGTTTGAAACAAACAAAAGCAAACTTTATGGTTCTTTAGTAAATAAAGGATTTTTCAATAAATAATTTTTTAAAAAATATTTTAATGAATGGGGAAATATATAATAATTTTTTTTTACTCCGCTTAAAATTTCTTATTATGTCTTAGAATATGTCTTATAATATTTCTATAATATCTTTAATACTAGTAAGACTGAAACTTATACCTATACTGCCCAAAAGCAGTCAAAATGACTGGATTGCAAAGGAATAAATAATGAGTAAAGAAATTTGTTTAAAATTAATTTTTAACACTTTTTAGATTATTTATAGGTATATAACAAGTTATTAGAGAATATTAATAATAAAAAAAATATATGTTGTACAAAATTCTAAGAAATTGCGTCGTTATATACATAATTGTTTTTCTAATTGAAATTAAAAGCAGTTCCTTAGGCAATCTAATGTTAAGAAACTATTGAAGACTGACAAAAGCAATGAGCTTGTTTTCGTCACGTTAGTGTGTTTCCTGTATTTGGCATGCTGATGTAATGCGTTATTAAATCATATAAAATCGAAAAATGAAATATATAAAAACAGTTTCTGAATTTCTAAAATTTCACACAGATAAGACAAACGTAATAACAGTTTTTTTTCGTTTTTCCTTCTTTTTTTATAAACATACTTATCAATCGCAGAGTTATTCACGATGAATATATTTTACTTTTTATTAATTCTAAAATTTTAAAAAAACTTAACACTTTTTTACTGAAGGATCTTTATAGACTACGCAACTATCATTAAACTTTCCCCCTCTTTTGGAATCCGTTTTCAGATAACATGGTAATGTTGCTTTTCAGATAACTTTAACTTCCGTTTCAACTTTTTCATTCGTTTGATAAACATTCGTTGTTTCGTTTAACAAGGTTTTCGAAGCTCTGTCTCGAAGGAAAATAAAAAAAAAGCCACAGTTTAAATGTCGTACAATAGAAGAAAAGCTATAATTTTTAGCTTTGTATGCCATCTTGCTGTTAAGAATTGTTTTGGCTTTAGAATGGAAGAATAACTAAAATATTTTAAAAGTTATTAAACTTTTTTCAAAACCGCCAATATGGCGACATTTTTCCTCCTAAATGAAAATTATCAAAATCACTACCTTTTTCTTTATTTTTACTAATTTTTTATGAGCTCCGATAAGGCAGCATTGGAGTAAGTTTTTTTAAATATTAAAAATATTAGAACAAACACTTTTCATTTTCACAAAACTGTGGCTTTTCTCCATATTAAGGTCTTGCGCCATTTTCAGAATAAGCATAGAGAGCACTAACTTTATATAAGCTAAACTTGTGTTGACAGTCATGAGAAACTGTTGCAAACTCACACTAGTTATTAAAATAGCATATTATTGGCAAAAAAAAGCATCGTTTCATATGACGACAGATCCTTCGAAATACAGTTTTAACAAGACCTATTTATAAATTGTCTTTAAGGCGATGATAGGTACGTATATTTTTACTTACTTTTGTTTTAAATTTAAGGCTTAGCAATCTTTTTTTTTTTTTTTTTTTANTTTTATTTTTTTTTTTTTTTTTTTTTGTTAATTTAAAGGAAATATAAAAATTTATTTCCCCGAAAGGCAAATTCTTTTACTCGAAATAAAACAACAAAAATCATATGTAAAATAAAATTAAAACCTTACCTATTCTTATTAACCTAAAAAAATTTACTCAAATGTGAATGAGTTAATTTTTACCATCCAGAAATAAGTGTGCTTCTGAATCTTATTAGAATCGTTCTCCTAGTTTTATAATGTAAAGGTGACTTGTTATATAAGTTTTTAAAGTAATTTATATCATACAGGTTACTTCATATGTTTCCTTTATATGTTTAAGTATAAATTTAAAAGACAAAACGATTATGTAATAGTGTGTACCATACTTTATGCTATAGTATGTAATGTACCTGTTTCCAATGAAAATGAAGAGTTTAATTTGTGGCTCATTACAAATGCAAAGATTTCTACTATTCATGGTGTAAACCTATTTCTAAGAAAAGTTCTTTTACGTTTTACATATAAAATGCATTTACTGTATTTAATTGCCATTTTTAGAGCAAAAATGTGGAGTTCATGTTCTAGTTAAAAACAAATGTAAAGATTTTTACAAGCCAACCTACTTATCAAATTTTCAGAAGCGTTCATGATTAATATTGCTAACTCATAAGATACCTACTGAGAAAAAATATGGACAGAATTACCAGAATGTAGAAATTTTACTGTGTTTCTGGCTCTATGGGAGCATCAAAATGCTGTGTATTTTTCATCGAAGGGCTTTAGTAATGATTTTGGTAAAATTAACAATAAAATTTGGTTTTATAATTTGCGATACAACTTGGTAAATGTGATAAAATTCAGTAATTTTATCATGATACCTTAGAGCATAGCGTAAAAACCATTTATTAGGCTAAATTTACTTTCAGTTTTATCTTTTTTACTAAACGTGCGGTAATAAGAACTATAATTTTGAAAACAAAATTTTGAAGTGGTAAATCACTATCATATGAATGAAAAAATTATCAATTGAAGGGTTTAAAAATACCGTATATTTTGGCTTTATTTACTAAAAATATCATTACATTGCCATACAGTACGGTAATTTCACAAGAATTTTTTTCTCCGGGTATGTTTTAAGATAAGAATTACACAAATTATCGTAATAAATCTAAATACAAAATGTAACGTACTTATTTATTACATTCAGATGTCTTTTTCGGAATGTAGATGTAGAGTTTAAATTCCAGCAAAAGAGATTTCTATGATTCATGAAGTATACCCATAAATATCTGAGACATTTAGAAGTGTTTTGTTTTTAAAATACTAATATTACAAAAGTAACATGTTAAAAGTTTTCCTGAAATAATATTGAGCTATCTTTAATAAAAATGTGATTGCAAATGCATTGTAATATTGCAGATAGTAGCAAAAGGCATGAAAGACAGAGGTGAAGGTGGTGCTATCGTAAACGTATCAAGTATTATGGGACTAGGAGCTTGTCCGACACGTGGTATCTATTCTGCTACAAAAGGTGCTGTGGATCAATTAACCAGAAGCATGGCTGTAGAATATGGTCCGTACAATGTATGTTTTTTTTATATTTATGACGTCATTTTTAAATCATCAGCTGACATGACGCAGTAACTTAATTACCATCAATATATTTCTTTTTATGTTTAACTCTGCCATGATGATAATTATTTAAATTTATATATTTTGTGATGAAAACTTGATATTTCCTGAAAAATAAAAAATATTGATGTATTTTTAATTTAAGGAACGGAAAATGATTAAAAAAGAATTCTATATTTAGATAAAGTATTATATGTTAAAATTGGTTTCAAAATATTTTAAACGCTCTTTTTTTCTTTAATTTTCTATTGTATTTTTCTTTACATTTTGTTTCATTTTTTAACACCCGACAATGAGTCATTAAAATCAAAGGAGGCCTCCAGAAGTTTTCATAACGTATAATCATTTCTTAACTTAAAGATCTATAGGATATAATTTTTATATTTTGAAATTATTTAAATTATTTTCAGATAAGGGTTAACTCTGTAAATCCAACTATTATTCGGACAAGAATGGCTGCCTGGGCTTTCGAACCAGGAAATGAGAGAGGATCTCGATATTTAGCAAGAACTCCCCTTGGAAGATTTGGTGGTGAGTATGCCCAGCTATTAAATTTAATTAATTAATTTTTTTGTATTTAGAATTATTTATGGGACTCCTTGAGGACTTTACGTTATTAGACTAAGCAAAACTCATATTTTGAAATTCATCTGATCAAAATAGAGATAAACTTATTCGGAGAAATTTGGTATGATGCTGTTACGCGTGCCTCAAGCGGCGTGCAATGTCATTTTCAGAACGTGAGTTATATGCAATTCTCAATTCTTTAGATGTACCCTATCACCAATCCGAATTCGTAACGAATCCAAATCCCCCTATCCAAATTTGTGACAGCTGTACTAAATCACTCTTTAGATTCCTTGTGCTGTTTAGAATTAGGTTAAATAACGGCGTGTAATCCTTAAAAAACAAAATATACTGTAGTTTCTTTTTAATTAAACAGAATTTTAAGAACGTGTATAAGCTTTATTTATTTCTTGCACTAATTTTGTAGATAATCTTATTTTTATCAATCATAATTTTCTTTAAAAAATTATTTTATGCTTACAATCTTTCGCAAAAATCTGAATTCTCGACTAATGTTCTATTTTTAATTTTTAGAAGTCAATGATGTTGTGCATCCAATTCTATTTCTCTTAAGCGACAAAGCTGCTATGGTTACAGGAATAGTAATGCCGATTGATGGTGGTTTTACAGTTTATTACTGAAAAATATGCAAATGCTTTGTAGTATGTTATAATGTCATATTTAAATACTGATAAATATCTTTAATAAATTATAAAATGGTGTCTGGATTTTAATCATTTCAAATTTGTGAAATGTTCCGGGTGTTCCATAATGGACTCCCAGACAATGAGTTTTAGAATCCTTGTTAAAAAGGAATGTGATGGCAATAAACCTTATTGAAATCTGAGATATCAAACATTGAGAACAGTTGCTGTATAAAACATAATGCAAAACCTACTTTTTGATATATTAAACACAGAGGAGTTTAAACATGGATACTAGAAACACCTTTAAATTTCAACCAACACTTAAACATGTTTTGAATGATTATTTTTTAGATTTTGAAAGATGTTTTTTTTTTGTCGATTCAATTTAATTTGTAACCCTTAATTTACTATTTTATCTTCTTTCTTCATAAGATTGTAGAATCTTATATATTAAGGGTACAGATTTTATGAATTACCTTGTGTTCGGTTTAATTTTCGTTTTTAAATCTAAATTAGACATCAGACATTGGAATTTCAGTACTACAAGCAAATACCACCAATCATGCTAAAATACATAAACGATACTTATGCACTAGCGTACTAAAGTCTTTGGTCAAACTCAATACTGTAGATAGTTAATTCGGAATATAGTAAAACAATATATAATTCTGCTTTTAAACTTCCTTAGTATCAACGTGAAAGTAATGCCAGCGGTTAAGTCATTTTAAATCAAGCTCAATTTTCGTATCAGTCAAGTATTAAATAAATAGTGTTTCACGCTTTTACAGGATTTTTTTACATCAGAGTAAGTAAGTTTGTTTACAGTAATAATCTATATGTGTAGATAAAAATGAATGTCTGTCTCTGAGAGTGTCCTTTATAAACTCCTAAACAACCAGACCAAAAGCGATAAAATTTGGCATATCGATAGCTCACTGAAAGGTCACTGAAGACATTAGAACTTTCTACGACGAACCGTTCGAGCAAGATGAGCTAAATTCGAAATGTAATTTTTCTGATGGGTTAAGCGTTAGTCATTTTTCGTAAAAAGTTTGTTTTCATCTGCTTTAAAGTTTCGTAAAATTCTTTCAATTGAAGGAAAATAAATGTGCTGATTAAAAATAAACAAAAACACGTAAATTTTGTTATCAAGGAGAATCGTCTTATCGCAATAAGTAAAAAAATGAAATAAGCGATAGCATCTTAAATGTTGAAAGAGGAAACTCAAATGTGAATGACTGAGGAAGTGAAAAAATATATTAAAAGAAAAGTTCAATGCGATTGAAGAAATCATGGAGATAAGATTTAATGGAAAAAGAGCTCTTGTAACCGGTGCGGGTAAAGGTATGAGTCCGATTATTTTTATTTAAGAAGTAATAACTGAAATTTACGAAAAAGAATCTTGAATTGTGTTTGAAAGTATAAAGTAATAATTTCTGGAATTTAAATGAATATTGCAAAAAAAATTTTTCATGCTTTTCTTTATAGATATTATCTTATAAAAATTTGAAAAAAATATATCAAATAAAAAACATTTATGAAATAATTCATATTTGAATAATTTTTTGAATACATTTATGTTTTAATCAAATATTTAAGATAATAAATATATTAAAATTTATAAATTCTTTTTTCTATTGTTCAGGACATACTTTATGCAGAATTTAGACTTCAAAAACTACTATACATTGCAAAAGTTGTATCATAAAATAGTAACAAAATAGGATGATCACTTTAAAAATTACTTTATTTAAGTATTATAAAAAGGATAAAATAATTATATTTTATTATTATCTTCATTTTTGTACAATTATGAGTTTTCATTTAGTTCAATCAAGTACAATATCATTTCCGAGTGTGTTACGAACTAAGAATATTTATAGAAAAGTAAATTAAGTTTGAAAAAGAATAATAAAAAATAATGTTTGAAATAATATAGATTAGACTTGCAGAACACAAAGAGTGGTTGCTCATGATAATACAAAAATACATCAATTCCTTTTTTTGAAAATTAAAAAAAAATATTTTGTTTTTGTATTTTCGCTATTGACGATACACATTTTTTGTTGATGTTATATTTTACTTCTTAAAAATAAAATTCATTCATTTAAGAGTCAAAATATCTTGATCGCGATATTTCATGATAATAATCGAGATCGAGTTCTTGTAAAAAGCGGGTATATGAAAAATTCAGAAAAAAATCATGTACTTCCTAAATTGTTATAATATAATATTTTATTTACTTTTATTTTATGTTAATACAAAAGGGGGCGCAATGAGGTAATTTGCTTTTAAGTGCCTCATTATCTCTTTGAAGTGTCATTCATAGCCAGGCCATTTTCACCCCTCTTTTGAAAAAGTTTGAAATTTTTCTGTGCATTCAAAGAGCCATTGAGTACATTGGCAGTGATGCCAACTTGCTTCGGACAGCAAATATTTATTTTAAAGTGGTAGTTTATCAATTGTGATTCTTGGTTTAATAAATAAAATTTAGTAGATTTTTATTCACCACTATTTCTAAATAATTCGTAGGCTTATATAATTCACCGCTTTGTAGCATTAATGACATGCTATGCCTTTAAAAAAACAAGCAAAAATAGTCAAATGTTTGCATATTTATTTTGTGGTTAATTACCGTTTTTTTAATTATTTTGGCGTGTCCGGAGCAGTTGGCATCTCTGCATTGGGATGGTCAATCGTTATCATCTTCCGTATCTACACATCGGTCGTTATCATAACCAATTTTATTATTCTTTTTTCATTTGCTTCATTGAATTTTCAATACAATATCTTCAGCAGCAGTTTACATAAACGTCTACAGACATAAAGCTTTCAAACTCTTATCTATTCATTTTAAAGTTTGAGAAGTCGTCTACATTTTCTTTTTCCCCGATTACAAAGTATTGCTCGCTAAAGATTTGCTCTAATTGACTTAATCGACCAAATATTTTCAATTTCTCATTAAATTCCGGGTTTTGTTATATCAAGGTTAAAGTAAAGCAGTATATCAATTTATGCGAATTCGTCTGTAATGTCTCACTTTTTTTAAAGTATAAGAAGGTCAAAATGCGAGAAATTAAAGTTTTGATTTTCACTTTCATTTTAAAGGCATCGGAAGAGGAATAGTTCTGAAGCTCGTCGAGTGTGGCGCTGATTTAGTAGCCGTGAGTAGGACACAGTCAGATTTAGATGAATTGACTTCGTTAGTAAGTGATTTTTTTGGTTACTTAAAACAAAATCCACTCACGCAGTTAAATTAAAACTCGGTAATTGGTCATGTAATATAAATTCTGATTATACATTTTGCCCCATACTGACCTCTTTCATCATATATATAATATAAAAAAGTTATTACCTCCTACGAGAAGTCAATAACATGAAATAACAAGCTAAGTGGCAAACTAAAGAGCCAACTTGTGAAATCACTAACAATTGAATATAGTAATTTTTCATTTTAAGAAAATTTTTGCTTGAATTGTTTCTCAGGAAACGGTTGCACTAAAAATGGTGAAAATGTTAAGAAAATTTCGATCCATTTTTTAACAGAATGATGATGTAATTTCATATATTTTTTCTTAAAATTAAGATCGGAACTCTCGAAATCATCCTATCACTAATTACTCGAATTCTGAATATCCGCTAATTCATCATTTCCGGCATTTTTAGATGCTTGATTGTACCATTTCCAACTGTGAAATTATAAAATGTTGCATTCAGATTTTTTATCACTATTTACTGTTTAGTCATGTTTGTTAATCCTTTTGGCCACGAATTAAAAATTACAAACAATTATTTTTATCCTATGCAATGCATGAACTGATTGTTAGACTAAGATAAGATTTTGTAACGTATCGTAACGTTTACCTAAGATTTCGTAACCTGAGATGTTACGGAATAATATGAGAATTTGAAAGTGCTTTTTGCACATTTACTATTTTTGAAAACCTTTCTTTCTAATGATTAATTATGAGTTAGAGGTGGAGAAATTTGACGTCAATCAAATAAATGAATTAACCTAAAAAAATTCTTTTAGATTTCAGCTAGATCGGTTTAATATTCAACGTTGGTTAGACACAATTGATAAATTATAATACATATTTTCTGAAGTAATAAATATTGAAATTATTTAAGATAGCTAAAAATACCTTTATAATTACACATTTTTAAAAGATTTAAATTTAAAGAATATCTTATTTTAATTCCAATTGAAAAAATATTTCATGTTTTTTACAATTTTATAACAAACGTATCTTATAATAAACGCACTATCTATCTTTTATTTATAATTTTAAAAAAATCTGAAAAATATTTAAGGGCATTCAGTAATTACCTTTCGATGTACGGTTCTAAAATTTTATCAGAAACTAATTCAAATTACTATGCACATTAGGAGTCGCAAATTAATATTTAACTGAGGAAGAAACAATTTTGCAATAAAAAAAGTCGCATCACTAGTCACAAAATCAGTTTGCTTGCAGGAGGAAACTGATGTTTCTAAAAATTACATGTTTTTAACTGCAAGGCACTTCTAATTATTTCATATTAACTACTCTATGCTTCTTCCGGCAATGGAACAGGTTTAAAAGTCTTCTACCCCGCTTGCTTTAGTATAGTTATTCGTTCCTTAAATTTCATGTATATTATTATGTTCTCTTACATTAAAGATAAAATTTCGATATATCTTTTTTACCTGATTTTGACGAAGATTCTAAGCGTAGATATAAAGGACAGTCATTACGAAGTAACCTGTATGAATTAATTTTAAATAGCTTATTAAAAAAATTATTTTAGTTCAAAGTTCCGTCTAGCATTACTAGCTCACATGGTTATTTCTAGTAATTATTTTTAGAAACAAAATTAGATACCGTAAAGTAAATCATTTACAGCATATTTTTTTCTCTTATGTGCAGAGTCCAAAGATCCAGACGTTACTTTTGGATGTCAGCGAATGGGCTAAAGTGAAAAATGTATTAGAAAATATTGGTCCAATTCATTTGTTGGTTAATAATGCAGGCATTACTGGAGACTTAATAGAATTGGAGGATTTTGACGAAGAAGGAATAAATAAGTAATTTAGAAAAAAGATTCCGTTTACGACTTCTTTCCCTATGTCTTATCGTGATCATATTTTTCTACATGTTGATTTATTCTTGTAACCTTAAAGTTGCAATGGACTTTTCAGAACAGTTTCTGTAACTACTTATTGGTTTCTCTGAACATTAAATTCTTATTCATAGAAATTCTATTGCAATAGATTTTTCACTTTTTTTTAATTACTAAGTTTTTATTTATTGACTTTAAAACAAAAATATATTGAATTTTGACGTGTTCAAGACGATTTGTTTTAAATGATATGTAATGCTTTTTTTATGTTCCATATTAAGAATAAAACAATAATTCTATGTTTTTATATTTCTAATTTCTATGAGGAATAAATTATTTTTAATAATAAAATTGTTTTTAACTAGAGTTTTAAAAACTTTAAATATTATTTAATTTGTACAGAACAAGGTACACGTTTATCGAATACGTTTCTTCTTAAAGTTGGCAGACAAGAAAGATACCCCAAAAACTACTCGTAAATTCAGCTGTCTTCGCATGTAAGGTCAGTTTTAGAAACAGAGTTAAAATCTGACAAAGTTTTGCGAACGTCTCTTTGCATCTGGAAGTATAAATTATAATTTAAAATTAAGATACGTTTTAAAGTACAAATCCAGAAATTTGAAAACCATCACAAAAATTCGACCGTGGAATCATTTTTCTTCTATTCTCTTTGAGTAAAAAACTATACTAAATTCAAGCAATCTCTTATAGATAATATTGACTTTCGACTTTTGAAATTGGTTATATTAGGGGTAAAAAAAAATTTTGACGCTTTATAACGTAAAGTAACATCTGTTTAAAAAAAATTCCTATGATGTTTTTTTCAAAAAATAGATCCTCATATTTTTAACTTCACAATTATATTTAAAGAAATTGGTAAAAACAAAATTTAATTTGAGAATTCTTTGTTTATTTCTACTATTTGTGACAGAAATGCCGTTAAATTTTAATTTATGACTCTTTATTTAAATTTTGATATAAATTTATTTAAATATAAATTATTTATTAAATTACTATCAATTCCTTTTTTCCTTCATGATGCATTTTAATACATGTCTAAATTTCTTAGTTCAAAATGTATGATGTATAAGAAAAAGTAACACTCAAAGTAGAAGACAAAATTTTAAAAATAATGACTTTTTTCAGCATTCGAAATTATTTAAAATTCATATGCATTTCTTAAAATAAATTAGTATGATTTAAAATTCGTATGCATTTCTTTAAATAATTTAAAATACATTTTGCCCCTATATTTCTAAATTAAATTGATCTGATTTTGATGAGAAAAAGCTTGGCATTTATATTACATGAAATAAATATTTAGTTTAGCTTAATAAATGTCTGTTATTTAGGTTAATAAATATCAGTTAGTCAAAAATATAATTGAAAATGTTATATTAAATTCTTTTTTCTTTTAAATCCTTGCTTAAATCTCCAATTTTGCTTTTTCTTCCTCTAATTTAAAAATCACACTTATACAACGAAAACTAACAAATTGAGGTATTTCACCGTCTTAAATTTAATAACTCAAAGAGGTTTTAATCGCGTTTTAATTTCATTAAAACAACAAACAATCAAGTACAACAAACAATCAAGTTATTAATCGTTCTTCCTGAACAACTTCATCGCTAATTTTGTTAAATAATATTATTTTTCCATTGAGTCTAAAATTAGTTCCTTCTGTTCTACCTTTATTTATATCATTTTTATTATCATTTTTAACTGTTTCAGAATGTTTGATACCAACGTCAAATCAATAATAGCTATTTCACAGGTAAGTATAAATTATTTTGCTTTTCAAATATTTTAGAAACGCACAATATTAAAATGAAATATAAAATATTTCAGAACAAAAAAATCATTTGTAGCTAAACACTCATAAAAACTGACGTAAGATAGTCGATTTGAGATTCAACTGTCATCATAATATTATCCTCTCTTAGGTAAGTCGCCTATATTCTACTTGATGGAAGAAAGTAAAACAAACAAAAAAAACGTTGACACTCTTGACCAGTTTAAATCTATGAATATCTTTCTAGATTATCAAAACTTTTGAAACTTCGATGCTGAAGTTAGATATCCATAAAGTTTTGGAGAAAGATTTATTTAAATACATATTTATTTTTCAAAGCAAATCAAACAATTAAATACCAAAACAGTAGAAAGATATAATGATAAAATAGATCATGATAAGATAGCAAATATCATGTTATGAATGTAAGAGGCACTATTCTAGGTATATTGTTGGTATTTGTGTATATTTTATTCGGAAGTATTTTATTGGCAAAAGTTTGCATTTTCCGTTTCAAATTTTTTCATTTATATTCAGTATCTTCTTAATATAACACTTTATTTTATACAGCATTTTGCTTTCTTAATATTGCTAATATATACTTTAAATATACTACTACCTAATCATATAGAAGTAACAGAGTTGTTCTTCTTGTAATTTATTATTTTAATATCTGAAGAAATATGACTAATAATTTAGTAATTATTGTGGCTAAAGAAAATTTAAAAATTTGTTTACTGATGAAAAATAAAATATCTGAGCCGAAATTATGTCATAAAATTAGCTTGTATCAGTATACTGAACTATCCTGCTATGAATGTTATTCACTGTTTCGTTTATTTTTTACTTTTTTTCTTAATATTTTATGAAACCATTATTTTATTTTTTTAAGAAATGTATATTTTAATTTTTTGTACCTTTTCGATTTCTTTCTCAAAAGTGAAATCTGAAATATCATTCAATCGGAGCGATGAATCTAATTTTCCCTAAAGGGTGTACAGATTTTTTAATAAAAGTTTCAATTTAAAAAAAAAAATATGTTGAGACCTATGTCATTCTGAGAAATTAGACACTAAGTATAAGATTACACTTAACAATTTCAAAGGCTATGAGTAAAGCGCTGAAACCCTCTAGCTGAAAACCGAAAACATATGTTTTCTAAACTGAAATCATCTAAAAGCTGAAATCATCTAAAACTAAATAGTTAATTTTTTTAAAAAAAGTTTCTGTTCAAAGTTTTGTTTCGAAATCAGTTGTTCTCCATTCAAGTTTTTTTACCAAGCTTGTAAAGCTTCTCTATTTCTACTAAATCTATTAAATAAAAGCATGGTATGTTGCTAAAATTCGTGGCAACACTTTGGGAGGGGGATATAATTTTTTTATAACGATCCGAAAAATGAATTTTTTTATTTTTATTTAAAAAATACTTTTAATTTTTTAATATCCTCAGGCTAGTATGGTTTTAGAAACATATTTGCATTTACCTACCTATGAATTAAACTTTTGTTTCAAATCATTGCCATGATTTTAATATATTTTATCATGTGCTCGGAGTTATCAATGTCAAATTTTAACACTTAACAAATTTAAACTCTAAAATTGTTTGCATTGTCTCGCGAAAGTGTTTGCATTGAAATAATATCTGCTCTTTTGTTTAACTCCTGTTGATGATAAAAAAAAGTCGATAAAAGTTGTACATTAATGCTTTCTTGATGAAACCAAAACCACCTAGTACTATTAATAATAAATATTTCATAGATAATCACTGTGATTTTAATAATATTAACAATAATATTACTAAAAATAATATAACAATAACAAGTACTTTAAAATAGAGAATAAAATTGAACAATATACTTGTATATTCAGTGAAATCCCGATTATCCCCGAGCTGTTAAACGCGGTGACAAATATCAGCGAGTTCCAAAGACGTCGCAATTACAACGAAGATATCGAAAGTGCATTTTCGGATTAAAAACAGGTATTTTCAAAGCAAGAATCAAATACGAGCGGTTTATTACTTTTAATTATTTGCTTATTGTATGTTTATTATTTTTTATTGTAACAGAATATTTTTATGAAGTGTGTGTGTACTATATTTTTTTCTTTGCTATTCGTTGTTTCAGTCATTTAGACGTAGAACAAATATTTCTGTTGTATGTTTAAAGTACATACCCACATATGAATATATTTTAAGGTTTTTTTTGTATTTCCAATTTATATTTTGATTTTTTTTCATTATCCGAGATTTTTTTTATCCGCGTTGTCTTTTCCACCCAATTATATGGATAATAGGGACTCTACTGTACTGACTTTCTAGTGCATATTGTACTGACTTTCAGTATATCAAAGTATCTGAAGAATTCAACTTTTTTATTGCAATAAGAAATGCTGTTCTCTATGAAAGTGGCATCACAAGTTTTTTCTTCTTCTTTTTCACTTGAAAATGACAGATTGCAGAACAATGCAGAACAAATGACACGAAAACAGAAAAAAAAATGGTTCTGCTTGATACCATACTGCAATTTGGCAACCATCAACTAAGTAAAATGAATATATTTAAATGGGAAAAGGAAGGGGTTTATCAACTCTCGTGTTTTCCCCATATCTATAAAAACTCTAGTTAGTTTCAAGTTTAAACACTTATACAATCAAAGCCAGTGTACTAATAGGAACATAGCGATTCAGAACAGTTATTACGAATTTCAGAATAGAGATAATGTGCACCATGAGAATTAATTGCATATTAACACACGGTTAGAAAATTTATCGTAAGCCGCTAAAAACGCTTTTCATTTTTGAACTTTCATTTATGTAAATTGCATAATTTTTTTTGAATTTTATGTTTCTTTCATAGTTTTTGTCGAAATATTCATTCAAATATACTCTGTAATAGCGGTGTCATAATTTAATAACCTAAAGACTAACTTGGAGACCTTGTCAAAAGGCTAGTTTTACTTTCCATTCAAGATTTTAACCATTGAACTGAATCTTCCAAATTCTTGAATTAAATATGTTTTGAACAATTTTCTTACTTTTTTATGTTTCTTATATTCTTACATACGCTTCCTCTATATTTTTTTTTGATGAAAGCTAATATTTGGCGATTTTGCAGATAGTAGCAAAAGGCATGAAGGAAAGAGGTGAGGGTGGTGCAATCGTAAATGTGTCTAGCGTCTTAGGACTGGGAGGTTGTCCGTGTCGTGGAGTGTATTCAGCTACTAAGGGGGCAGTAGATCAACTGACCAGGAGCATGGCTGTGGAATATGGTCCTCATAATGTATGTTCTTTTTCAATTCCCATATCAAAATTTCCACGTTTATTCACAATGAAACTCACGATTTTGAAAATATTTTTTTATTTTTTAACCATTTGACGCCATACCATTGAGCCATTTTTTAATCATATTTTTTAAAAATCCCTTTCATGTATTTTTTTCTGCACTCCATTTACAAGCGAAAATACATTTTGTTATTTTTTAATTGTTAAAAAACAGTCTGATAGTTACTAAAAATATCCAAATACAAAATTCAAAAGAAAGTAGTTTAAATTTTTTTTTCTTATTTATTTTTAAAAATTTATCAATTACTGATTTCATAAATTAAAGAAACTTCAATGAGGAATAACTGCTTCTCTTTGATCTAAATAACTCCTAACTAATACAAATTTGAAAAATTATTGCTTGGAAGATTTTACCTTTAAAGGAAAGAGAAACACCAGTGTTTGATGCTGCATTTCATGACCATTAATTGTTAAAATGCCAAATATGATATTTTCCCCTTATTTTGACCTAAGTTAACGGGGAAAAAAGTATAATTTTTTTTTTTTAATTCTGCTTCCAAGGGTAAAGAAATTTGTAATTGGGTGATATAAAATTGTTTAATGTTCTGTTATAAAGGAAATGCTGATGAATAGTTCATGGAATGAATGTAAGAATACTAAAATAAAGTATTAATGAATGGATATTACATTAAAATATTTCATTTAAGAGGTTATCTGTACTTAAAATTTGAAAAATTGTTTTTCGCATGTTATTCAATATTGATATTGTTTCCAAAAATTAACGTCACTTTAAAATCAACAAACAGTTGTAACTCGGGTAAATTTTAAAGTCATATTAAAGAACGCTAATCTGCATTATTAACTGTTTAATTTTAATTTTTCTTCTTTTATACTTTTGCTTTGATAAATTAGAATATGTACTCTGGAAGAAAAAATTTTTTAAAAATTGTCAGAATATGGTAAAAATCACCGTGTTTCTGTCTTTATGGGAACACCAAAAAGTGCGGAAATTTTTACTGAAGCACTGTGGTAAAGAATTTAGTAAAATTAACAATAAAATAGGGTTTTATAATCTGTGATAAAATTTGAAAATTTTATCATGAATCCTTAGAATATATACTAAAATATATTTACTTGACTTAATTTAATTTTCAACTTAGTATTTTTTACTATATGTGTAGTAATAAGAAAATTATTATTTCGGCAACGTTCTGGTAAACCATTACCATATGAACAAAAAAGTTACCAAATGAATGGCTTAAGTACCATATAATTAGATTCCATTAACAAAATTATGGTGTTTTTGCAGGAAATGTCATTACTATGCAGGACGGTAATTTTTCCTAAATGTTTTTTGTCCATGTATTCATTTTGCTATCTTAGAATTTGTTTGCATTGTGATCTGTTAGTAAAATAAGCTTGAATTCTAGTTTTATTTATTTTTATAAATGAATAGTCCAAGCTTATTAGACTACAAATATTTACTTTTAGTAAAAATTCTGTGACTGATTGTTAGTTAAACTATTATAAAAAGGGAGTGGGGGACTTAATAAAAGAAGGAAGTGGCTTTAAAAACAAAAAACATTTTCTCAATGTTCCGCAACATGTATTTGAAAATACCATAAATCAAGAAAATCTGTCATCAAGTTTAAAATTCTGTACATTAAACTCTAAAATTTTATATTGTATTAAATTACCAATATACAGATTGTTAGATATATTCTGTTTTATATCTGTTCTTTAGATTAGGGTTAACTCCGTGAATCCAGCTATAACTCGAACGAGAGTGACAACATGGGCTTTTGAGCCTGGTAATGCTAGAGGATCTAAATATTTGACAAGAACTCCTTTGGGACGATTTTGCGGTGCGTATGTATATTTATTAATCACTTAGTTAAATTTTAAATAACTAAAATAAAGATAGTAAAAATAAAGATGGATACTAATTTCTTCAGTTTGACAAAATATTTGCTCGGAGAATTTGCTGGTAAACTGTTTCAACCAAAACGGAGAAAATTTCACTACTTTTGAGTTTTATTAATCATTAAGCGAAAAAAATATTATTCGTGTTAAAATTAATAGCAAAGTCTTAATCATACCATTGTCATGAAATGCAATTTATTAACTTACCAAGTCCCTGATTCCAACATTAATTCTTATAATCTTCAGTAATAATGAGTACGATCAACATTTTTAAAATTGCAAATGCACTGTAAAAAACTCCGAATCAAATTATGTTATTAAGCACCAACTCTTTGGGTGCATTATTCATAAAATTCATTTTTTAGTAATTTGTATTAAATTAAAGTAATTCAGTGATTTGCGGTAATTATTATTGGAAAAAATACTGTATATCAGATTTTTTGTTCCGTGACATGTTCCAGTAAAAATAGATTTTACGATAAAAAGTACCGGCAACTTGAGAGTCGGTCCATTTTACCGTAATTTGATCCGGAATTTTTTTTTTTTTACAGTGAATTGGTTTTTAAAAATCATTATTACAATCTAATGTGCTGCCAATGTAAATCATTCTTCAGGTTTAGTTAAAACTCCTCAATGCAGCTTTATTTAACTTTTATTTGCATTGAAATAATTTACAATACGTGACATTTCGAACACATTGATAAGTTATTTAAGAGTTTACTTTCACTTAACTAGTTCTTTCACGGTACACTTAACCTTAGAATTTAGTAATAATCAATTTTACCTTTTGTTGTCCGCGTGTAAGAATTTCGATGGATGCTACAGATTAATTAATGCAACTGATTAGGAAAAAAATTTAAAAAATTATCAGCGAATGAATTTTTCCATCATTAAAATTTAGCTCGGTTAACTTGCATATAAAACAGGAATTTTAACCCCTGTACCGTCCCGTCAGTTGGAGGAAATGGTTTTGAAATTAGAGGAGAAATTTTTTAAGACTTCCTAAAATGCATTAAGAGGGCACAGAGTCAGCATTTATTGTTCAGTCAGCATTTATTGTTCACCATTTGTGAGTTCACGTCAACCACGTCAAATCGTAACGAGGTTTTCATATCAAAAACCGTGGAATATCATGCCGAAATGATTGTCAAAAATAACAGCAACTCACGAATTACTAATTCATCAATAATGAGAGTTTTTCTCTAAATGTGCATGTTTTATAACATTAAATGACAAGAATAATTACAAAAGAAAAATTATACTGGAAAAGAAATTTTCTTAAAATATAATATTTACTGAAGACTATCTTATTTGAAAACTTAGCTGAAGGAATTTTACAAAAATATGAATTTTATTAAGAAGATATAATAAATATCGTTAAATAAGGCATAAGTAATTTACATGTAAACAGAGTTATAAAATTAAAACTTTAAATAATTTAATACTTATGAGAACTAAAATTACCTGGAACTTCTCTGTTTATTATTTATTACATCATGTGATTTTTAAACTAATGAGAATACAAGAAAACATTAAGAAGACACATAGCTTTTTATGAGAGATAATTTGCATCTTTTTATGATATAATGAGTCTCCAAATACTTGTGTAGCTACTTTATTTATATGTATACTGTTTTAGTATAAAAGTGTTATAAAATATTTACGAATACTTAGACATAATTTAAACTTACAATGAAACTTAGAATGATCAATTTTTTATTCTAATATAAAAATTTATTAGTTATAATATGTAAAAACTAGTATTTTAAAATCATTTTATTATTACGTGCTGAATTAATGGCTGATTTGTTTTATTTTTGTATTTAGAAGTCGATGATGTTGTGCGTCCAATTCTGTTTCTCTTAAGCGACAAAGCTGCTATGGTTACCGGAATAGTAATGCCAATCGATGGCGGGTTTACAGTATATTACTGAAAAATATGTAAATATTTGTATTAGTTTATATAAAACATGCATGAAAAGTAATAAATATCTTATCTGTATGTATCACTGCTAAGTGTCAAGGAATCAGTTATTTCAAAATAATTTTTAAAAAAATAAGAACATCAAGGGAATGTATTTGAATCATTTGAGATATATGCACTAAATGAACTTATATTTTAATTACTTTGTTATTAGTTTTTTATTCATAAATTAATTACGATCAGTTCTATTAAGTAATATATCAGAGGATATCTAAAAGTAGAATGTTTTGCAATCAATCTAAATTATTAAGATTTGCAGCACCTTTACTACCACCTAAATCAGTAATTCTTCACATCGCACAGTGGTCCAGAAGACCATGATCTTTGGCCAAAAGTCAAAATAAATTTTCAACTAAAATATGTCCAGGCAGTTTTAATATCGCCCAAATTAAGTATCTATCCAAACATTATAATTTACTTTTTGGGCCAACGAGAGTACAATGTAGTGAAAAATATGTTAATTTTTTTTAAAATGTAACTTTTAAATTTATATTTCAGAAATATATATAGAAATTTCACCTTACTGTTGAATTTTAATCAGAGTAATTAGTCTGAAATTATAGTACAATTTTTCAATTTGTTGGATTAGTTAATACTCTTGACAGACTTATAGTTTATATCTTATCATTTGACATTTTACAATGTTTGAATCACTTTCGAAACTTAGTTCCAAAAAGTTCCACGAAGTAATTAGCTAAACTTTTTTTGTCGTCTTCTTTGATGTTTCTTCTTTCGAAAAAACCTGCCCTATTTTGCCCATATTGCAAAGGTGGACTAAATATACCGAAAAACAAAAATTATGTTTTTTTCATTTTTTCGCGTTATTTTCTAATTAATTCGCGTTATTCTGTAATATTACTCCGGAAATATAATTTGCTTTTCATTTTTAATATAAAAATACGAAAATTATTATTATTTCATTGCTATATTTAATTATTTAAACGTACTATATTATTATTTTTTTCTCGCCATATTTCAGCCGCCATTTCGTTCGTTTTTTTGGAATTTTTAGTGTATTTCAAAATTTCAACTATGAGTTCAATTTACCTGCACATAAAAAAAACCAAAATTTGAAACAAATTTTATAGAAATAATAATTTTGGCCACGAAATAATTTTGGCCCACTGTGCATCGTCTTACTTACGAACCACTAGATGGCATACTAAATCAATGGTAGAACATAAACTCTAAAATGGATGAAAATCTGTATAGCTCTAAATATACACCACTCTAATTAAAAAGGGGGAATATTATAGTTCTGTTAGCCATGTTTTCATTTATAAAATAACAAAAATGTAACTATGAAGATATATGTAAAAAATTAATAGTGATTTAAATTAGTGATTCTAAAAATCTTCGTACTTACAATCACAAGATGACTTCAAATCAATGGCGGAATATATACTCGAAAATGAACGAAAACCTGTATATTTCAAATACTGCTGATTTTTGTGTGTGTTATGAAGCAATAAAAATATAATAATAAGTAAAATAATTTACAGCATATAAAATATAGTTGTCCCACATTTTTAATACTAAAAAAATATGGTCAAAACTATCAGAATATGGTAAAAATTACCATGTATTTGGTAGTCTGAGGTATCTGGTACCAAGCGCTCACCAACTGGTCCTGAAATTCCCTCACATTGCGAGGGGGTAGCGTGGCAGCATGGATTTGGTTTTCCAAGTAGGACCACAAATGATCTATTGGATTAAGGTCAGGTGAATTTGGGGGCCAAAACATGACTTGAAAGTCACTGGAATGTTCCTCGAACCAATCCATGACGATTCGACCCTTATGACATGGTGCATTATCCTGTTGGTAAACACCATCCCCCGCAGGAAAATCTGTTGCCATGAATGGGTGAACCTGGTCTGCAACTATGTTCAAGTAGCTTACAGACGTCAGGGATTGTTCTATGAGGATTATGGGTCCTAATATGCCCCATGAAAACATTGTTCCGGGGCGAGAAACCATGAAAACCTGGGCAAGCCCATTGTCATAGATGGAAGGTGGTCATAATGTAATGGTTCTTCGTTGTATATTTAAGAAAATATAGTATTATTGCAGTTTTTGAAAACAATTTTACTAAGAGGTATTAATTCATACCAAGTATCATTATTCTTTAGAGTTATGATTGCAAAAAATTTTAATATTTAAAACTGTATGATCACCATTTGGGAAACTAGATTCGTTAAAAGGCATCAATTCAGATTAAGTTTAATTTAATTTAAAAAATTATGAAATAAATATTATTTATTTATTTACAAAGTATGGCACAACAAGGCTCTCTGAAAGTTTAAACCTCATCTGAATGCATGATTTTTTTATCATTATTACAAAATACGAGAAAACTTCCAAAAAGCCACTGGGTGAGAATTACGGTCGTAAAAAATTGATTTCTACACTGTTAAAATTTTCATTCTAAAATTATGGTAAAATAACTCGCAGCTATCTGTTCATCCGATTAACCGTAAAGTTTACAGTAAAGAACATTTTTTTTCTTTACGGTTTTGATACTATTTACCAAAAGTATGGTTATAAAACCATGAATACAAAACTATACGGTTTTTTAACCATTTACAATTAGCATTTTTCAAAAACGGAAAAAAATATAATTATTTAATTAGACTTACTAGCTTGGCTTTCCGTAAGGTAATGGGCATTGGAGAGTGCCGGACACTATAAATTCTTTATGTTTTAAAGGGAATGGAGGAAATATTGTGGTGTCACCACTAGGACTCGAACTCCAGTTCTGCCGGTCATGAGATTGACAGATAAGCCCGCAAGGTTTTGATATGTACACAGTAGCTTCATTACGTGGTTCTAGTTGGTGCGATAAAATTCTGGTTGCTTAACTGTATAAGGTGAAAGCAGTTAATAAACAGTTTTTCTCAAACTCAACAGTTTGATTACCATTTTATTTATGGTTATTTGACTGTTTTGATTAAATATGGTAAAATAACCATTCAATAAATTGTTATTTAACTATTTTTTCCTAGAAATTTCTAACAGTGTAGATGACTTTCGCAGGTTTGTACTATAGAAAAATATATTTCAAAAGTTTTCTGAACTTAACAAGGTCTATTTTATAAAATAAATCAGTTTCATTTCAAATTTTTATTGTGTCTTGAAATACAGACAAAAGTAGCATTTGTAAAGTAAAAAGAATTCATGAAACATTTTTATTTTTAATTGAAACAATGCAGATCTAAAACAGAAAGATCACCAAAAAAGTTTATTTCAGAATCTTTTTTTTTTTTTTTTTTTATTTCAAAAACTGNTTTTTTTTTTTTTTTTGTAATTTCAAAAACTAATGGTGAGACCTCCATCAATAGGCATAGTAATTCCAGTTATCATCGATGCTTTATCACTCAATAGAAACAAGATGGGATAGGCGACTTCATCCACTTCTGCATATATTGAGAAAAAGAAAAATAGTTTAATAAAATGTTTGAATTTATTTAATAATTTAAATTTTAACTGAAAATGCTTCATCAAAAGTGAAATGTATTTAGAATTGTTTATTTTTTAAATCTATAAATGGATTGAGTACACATAGGAATAGTTAATTTACATATTGTATTACTGAATGAAATCTAAAATTTTCAAGGATTGACGTAGAAAAGATTAAAACGATATAAAAATATTAAATGATGTATAAAAATTAATCGATATTATGAAAGTTAATTTATTCGGTAAATTGTAAATTGTGATAACAATTTTAAGAACTAAGACGAGTAAGTTTCACGTGGCTTATACATTGCACAAAATAAAAAATAAGCAATAAAATAACTTTTTATCGATTTATTGAAGCGTAATAATTAAAACGATGGGGCAATTATAATTACATATATTTTTAGAAACTTTAAAAAAATAAACAGATTGAAAGTAAAGTGGCTAGAGTTTATATTAATTGGCTTTATAAATTAAATAGAAATGTAATTTATATTCAAAAAAAGTCTTTCGAATTTTTTCGAAACATTACTGAAGAAGATGGGACTGGAAACATCAAATTACGGGAAAAAATATAAAATAAATTAAAGAGAATTATTAGAAAAACCTATTAAAACACTATTACTAGTTAGAAATATCCTGTTAGAAACACTATTACAAGTTAGAGACACCTATTAGAAGCACTTATAAGAAACACTATTAAAAGTTTGAAATACCTATCGGAAACACTATTACAAGTTCGAAACACCTACTACAAATTTTATCAGACCGTCAAATTTATTTCTATGATTTCATTTCACCTTTCTCTCTAGTGATTCGACAGATGATGGTATAGATTTTTTTCTTTCTAATTTAAATATTAATTACCAAAACCTGATGCATTTTTTCAACTTAATTTTGATAAGGACTCTATGAGTATATATTAATTAAGATATGTAAGAAATACATGTATTTAATTAACAAAACTCTTTTCCATAGCTCTTTAATTAGAATTCACAATATTTCAAGAAAGTAACGTATATTCATTTGGCTGAAAATATGAACGTAATAGGATAATCAAACCATTGAAAATAAACCAAATAACGTTACCAACGAAAAAATATACATATTAAGGTTGCTAAAATAACAAATTTCTCAAAAAGAATTTGATGAAGAGTTAATATTATTTTTTTTCATATGAAAGGCACTGTATATTCCATGCAAACTTATTTTCGATATTTTTAAGTGGCAGAAATTTTGTTAACTAAATTAATTAAGCCTAGTTTGAGAAACATACGTTCATATTTTAAGACTTTTTCGTGTAAAGCTTTGTGACAGTCTTGCGATGCTACAATTTATGAAATGTAAACATTTAATACCTCCAAATCTCTTTAGAGGGGTTCTTTGAAGCCAGTCATTTGCGTATTCATTTTCAGGATCAAACATACCTTCTTCAACCGCCATCTTGGTACGGATAGCTGTGGGATTTACAGCATTCACCCGTATCTATAAATAGATATTTTAATTAATGTAAAAGTACTTAAAATTATTTTGATCCCACTGAAATAAAAATAAAAACGTTAAATTTTGTTTTTAAAAATATAGGATGAACATATTACATATTATTAAGCTCAAATAGAAATACTAACTTTAAAATATAGTTTTAACAAAGATGGAAACAGTTTAATACTTTTTTTTATATTAAGTTAACTCAATTATATGATAGCATTTTAAATTGCATTTTGAATTTCATTTAAAAAAAATAAGTGATGTTGGACAACTATTGAGGTCCGTGCATATTTCTTGCAATTCTTGCAATATTCCGTATATTGCAAGAATATGAACCTCCAAAAACCCTCGTTTATAACATGCTCTGTGACTTTCAACAGCTCTTTTCTTTTTTCTGCATAATTTATTAATTATTATAGTTTTCTCAAATATGCTGTAAAAAGTCTGGAACATATTACGATAAAAGGTACCGGCATTTAGAATGCAGACGGAAATTTAATGGAAGAAAATTTTATAAACAGTAATTTCAATACTATTTACTGAATTACAGTAATAATAAAATAAGTATTACTATAAAAAATTACATTACATTATATTAATTATATTTAAAGGAAAAAATGCATCTTTCAAATGCTGCAGTTATGGTAAAAAAAAAACGGCACTCTGGGAGCCAGTAGTTTTAGCCGTAATATTTTACGGAAAAAAATTGATACGCCGTAATTTTTTCCAGCGAATTGCAATAATTAAATAAGTATTACTGTGAAAATTACAGTATAAATTTTACTGCAAAAATGTATTTAATGACTACTGCATTCAGGGTGCCAGTATTTTTTTTTTTAGTATAGAATTTAATACAGTGTAACATCAAATAAAAATTGGATTTTGCACAATCCGTAACATATCTTATGGCTCCCTCCCCTACTGCGTTTGGTTGAAAATTACAGTGTCAAGATAAAAGCATAATAAAAGATAAAGAATCGTTTGGGCAATGTTTTTTTAACGCTCATTAGAACATTCAAATTAAAATATTAATTTTAATATAAAAGCCAAGTTTAAATATTAAGTGCTTTTGCTTCATTTTCGATAAAATAGCTACAAATCAAATTACTTTATCTTTTTTGCGCACTCAGATACATATATGGCAGTACTTTTACTTTCGTTGCTTGCACCACCGGTACAAGTAAAAAGTACGTAATTTTACTTGTACTTCGTTACTTTTTAAATTTAGTACTTTTACTTGTACTTTCGTTACATTTTTAGGGAAAAAGTACAAGTATTTGTAACGGAAATGTCGAATCGTTACTTTTTTCTAAAACTCGGTAAGATTTCTAAAAAAAAAAATTATTAAAAAAAAATGCTTATGTTTTTTGTAATTTATAAAATTAATGTGCAATATACATGCATTCACAGCTAACTTCGTGCTTAAATACCTTGACCTCCCGTGGAGCGCTTATTCAGCGTGGCTGAGCACGTTCTGAGAAATTCTCGTAGCAAACTCAGTGACACCACTTTCGAAATGCAATTATTTTGCAAAATTAATAAAAATATTAATTAGCAAGTTATTTTCATTCATTTTTGAGTTTTATGCAATTATTTAATAAATTTCAAATAAAAAATTTTAGATTTTGTTATTACGTTTTTCAATTTTATTTTTGAACTCACTAATAATACATTTTTGTCTTAATACATTTTTTGCTAAATACATTTTTACCTAGCACATTTTTTACTAAAATTATGTTTATGCCTGACCTTGTCAAACAATGCCCAGTCAAATCTCTAAGAACTTCAGAACTATTTGTGCTATTGAAAACCATTATAATTATTATTTTAACTCTTGAAAACTCGAAGGTATTAATTTAGCCGCTGATACTAAAATTCGTTTACAAATTTTAATTATTTCGTTAAGCAGAAATGTTCGGAAAATGATTTTCTCGCGTGACTTCAGCATTAGCCATTGTTACAAATAAAACTGTAGACTGTTCCTTTTCAACTTATACTGCACATTCAATTATTTTTTACTAGCTCAAAGATCACAAAGCGAAACCCCGTGTTTGCTTTGTTTATATTTGTGCTTTTAAAACGCGTTTCTATAGAGCAAAACAATTTTGAATGAATGGTAATTTAAATAAAAAAAATATTAAACTAAAATTTAAAATCAATAGATAAAATTTCTTTTTCGTGCAAATCCATAAAAGGTTTGATATTGAAACTGTATTTGATTTTAAAATTATATTATACGATTATATTATAAAATTATATTATAATATTCTTCCGAATGCAAAAATAAATTAATGTTCGTATCTTTCAAAATTAAAAATAATTAAATAAATAAGAACAATTTTGCAAAAACATTGAAGAACATAAGAATATTATTCAATAAAATTTTAGGTTACTTTGAATTTTCGGTTTCCTAGAAATGTACTTTTAAATCGTTACTTTCTTTATTTAGTATTTGTACTTTTACTTGTACTTTTTACTCGTTACTTTTTAAAATAAGAATTTTTTTACTTTTTACTCGTTACTTTTTTTAAAAATACTTGTACTTTTACTCGTTACTTTTTAAAAGTAACGTTGCCATATATGCTCAGATATAACGTTACATAAGAGAATAGTGGTCTGTGTTCCGTCATCAATAAACAGTTAGTTTGGAATAATTGTTTTAAATCGTCTGCCGATATAATAACTGCAACTCTAGCTGGTTGCTAGGCAACCAAACAACTTTTTCTTGTTATTAATGTTTTGTTTATCAGTTCGTCTGTGTATGTCTGTGGAAATAAAAGAATGTAAAAGCTAAAAGTCTGCAATACCTTATGTTCAACACACTTCGTAATTATAAATTATTTATCAGTATCATAATTCCTTATTTAAAGTACGGCATATTTTTCCCCAAATAAGTTCAGTATTTATTGATTCTGAGTAAATATTTACGTTATATTTGTACAATCACTATAAAGGGCCCTCAGGTTATAAAGTATGTTTCAGCTTTAATGACAAGATTCATTGTATCGAAAATTAATTGCAAATTTGGTGAAAGTGAAATTTATTTTGCATGCCAAAGTCCATTATTCTGTTTTAAGAACCATAAAATTTAAACTATTATTTAAGCTTTATTTGAAGCTAAATCTATTGTGGAAGATATTATTATTAGCATGAATTAAAAAAAGTTATAGAAAGAAATTATTTTCAGATTGACCAATGGAATGAATTATTACTTACGTTGTATGGTCCGAATTCGACAGCCAAGCATCGAGTAATTTGATCCACAGCACCTTTGCTTGTACAATAATTACTGTATGAGCCAGACACAATATATGAAAAAATGCTTGAAACATTTACAATAGAGCCACCACATCCTCTAGATTTCATTCCTTCTGCTATTATCTATGTAAAAAAAACTAAGTTTAATCTTTTAATCAATTATAACCCATGTTGCAACGCTCTTAATTTAAGAAAAAATAAGTGTGTGAGTGACTCTCAGAAGTAAGACTCTCAGTTTTGAGGATTCCGCAATATTTAAGCAATATTTCGCTAATTTTTAAAATTCAAATGTCACGAAATCACATGATTTATGACGAAACAGGAGCTCTCAAATATATCACGAAAATGTTTCCTCAACTGGAAACTTCATTGTAGTGCATTGCGGGAGATTTTTAACTAGGAAGACGAAACTAAGTTGAAGATTAAACAATCGAAAATAAAGTTACAAAATAAGCCAACTGGACTGTATGGTGATTAAGTAGGTTGGACTCATAGCAGGTTGATCTCGGTTTCGTATTCCACTTCGGACAAATTAGACACTTGAAGTTTTTATTTCCCATTTTTTGGATTAAAAAAAAATAGAACGACGAAAATATTTCTTTACTATTGACAAAACTCGTTTCGTCGAAGAAATAGCGATAGTTATTTCGTCACTTGACGAAATGTTCGCTCGGAGCACATACCAAGAAGCGGTTATATCAAAAACGAAGAAAGTTTTTTGAAATTTGAGTATTATTTTTTATAGTTTGTTTAAGAAACGAGAAAGTTTGAAAGTTATCTTCTTTACTTCCTACCCTGCTATTTCCTGTTTCAGTTTTAAACTACCCAATGTTGATGATAAAATGATATCTGAACTGTTTTATTTTATCATTATTAAATTATTTAATTATAGTTATATTTTAAAATACTGAAAGAAGACGTAAAGACTGAAAAAAATCATAATAACACTGGCGAATAATTTTTTCCTTTGCATGAGATTTTTAACAGATCTTAGACACTTCCATGCCTCTGATTTGAAATTTGCGCTCAATTTCCCTATCCAAGTTATATAATTCTCTTAAATGATATTTTTATTTTATTTTCTGACGAAATATGTACGTTTGAAAACCACCAAATTTTAAACCAACAGTAACAACAGTAACCAACAGTAACAGTTTACTGAAGTTCTTTAGTAATGATTTTGGTAAAATAAACAATGAAATATTGTTTTATGATATAAATTAAAAATTTATTTAATGTGGTAAATTTTGATAATTTTATCATTATACTTATACCATAGACTAAAAACCATTTAATTGATTAAATGGTTTTTAACCAATGTAACAAATTTTGAATATTTTACTAAATGTGTGGTAATAAGAAAAATTATTTGGAAAAGCAGTATTTCCGGTAAATGAATGAACTAAAACCGTTTTTATATGTAAGGTTTAAATACCGTATACTTTGATTTTATTACCAGAATTATTATTAGTATTATTTTACTATAAATGCCCTTTGGGATACAGTACAATAATTTTACTATAATTTTTTTCTCCATTTAGCATGAATGTTAGTTAAAAACAAATTCATCACTTTGTAGTAAACAACGCAACAAAAATAATTATTAAAACATTTTAAAAACTTTCAGTAATTTTATAACAAAGTATTCACTTTCTGACAAACAATGACTTCAAAATAATTATTTGCATAAAAGAATAAAATGTTCAGCATGAAATAAAAACTTACCTGACTTATATTGATAATAGCTTTCACGTTGATGTCGAAAGTTCTAAAAAGAAAATTCTAATGATATCCATGTAACAGGGTTAATGGTGCAAGCATTAATAAATATATAATAACCTCTCATTAATGTGGTTACGTATTATATCGAAACTCCAATAAATCAGTAGGAATTATGTTGCACATTTGAAATGCACAAATTATTCCATAATGACCTTCCTTTAAGCATTTTTAGAAGCTTTGTAAAAAGTTATGCAAAAAAAGCATTCACGTTAAGGGTCAAAATTTAACATTTAAACCAACAAAATACAAAATATGATCAGAGGCAAAGAAGTAGCTATTAAAGAAAGCGGAACAGAAAACACCAAAACGTGTTTGATTGACGAGGGAGACAGAAATGAATTGATAGATAATTATCCCCATCAAGTATTGTAAGGCAATAGAACCTGATATTTGATGATTTCAACTTTATCTTTCTCACTCCTAATTTCAAATATTTCGATAGCTTAGATATCTTTCATAGCTTAGTTCATATTTTGTGACTCTCAGAAAGATTTTTTACGTTATTTTTGTCAATAATTTAAAAACAAATATAGTTTAACACTAGAAAGATGGATGGGGCCAATTAGGTTCTTCTCGTTTTTAATTGACCCGTAAATCAGAAGAAAAGAAATAAACTTACTGAAAGTGTTGAGTATTTCTGACTTTTCGTAATTTGTACCAACTTAAGTGTACCAACTTAATACCAACTTTGTCATTCATGTGTTTACCTTTTAAAAACGTGTATAAACCTTATACCTAGAATGACGAGAAGGGCCCTAGTGCCCCTTAGTTATTTTGGTATGCTCAAATAATCCCAGGTGGCTTTGGGTATTATAAAGTACTCTTTGGTACCCCATAAGGTATCCTAGTTTCATTAAAAAACAAGAATGTTTCAATATATCTATAAATATCTTTCATTGCTTAGTTCATATCATATTGCTTAGTTTCATTGCTTAGTATTTGGGTATAAAATACTCTTTGGTACCCCATAAGGCAGGGATGGCGAACCCATGGCACGCGTGCCATTTATGGCACGCGACACAATATTTTGGGCACGCCACCGATCACAATCGTTATTGCACTATGAATTGTTATTACACAAATGTCACACACTATGAAGCATATGTAACAATTAAATTAAAATTCACAAAAAACAAACAAAATAATAAACAATAAATAAAAAAATTAACAATTAATGCTAAAAGAACAATTAATAACCATAAAAAACAAGCTAACAATAAATAACTAGGAAAATAATCAACAGTCCTGCTTAAACTAATATCTTACAACCTAATATAAGTTATTTGTCATTTAATCTGCAATAACAGAAGTCCCACTGATGCTACTTTAAGTTGAATTACGCGTATAACTGAGACATTGCAAAATGTATTTTCTTTTCAATCTTTTTCGTATTTACCTGATTTAAAAGTTGCACATTACAATTTAAAAACCCAATATCATAAGTTGTATTTATGCATTTTTGAATTCAATATCGTGATTCATTGTAACACTTTTTTAAAATCCAATATTGCAATTCGTATTCAATCCTTTATAGCTCACCCATTTTCGTATTTATGCATGATTTTAAAGCTAAATGTCAAATTGCAATTCCTCACAATTTGGAAATCGAATATCGTGATTTGTATTCATGCGATTTTAAAATCCAATATTGCAATTCATATTCACGAGATTTTAAAATCCAATATCACAATTCTTGTTAGAGCAAAGTTTTTCTTAAATTAATTACTATAAATGTGTGATATTCGTCCTTGGTAGGTGATTTAACTGTAAATCTTGGTTCGAAAAATTATGCTAAAATGGAACATGTGCGGTACATAATTTGATATTGTGATATTGTAACATAAAATCTACAGGTTTTTTACTTTGTATCACAATCTCCCCTTATATACCTACTTACTCAACATAAAATTCTATAAAAGAGTAACACAAAAAAGTAAATCCTGGGAATCCTAAACTTCTGATATACAATGGCCTCAGATTTAAATTAAAAATTTATCTTTAAAAATAATTATTTTTTAGATGTCAAAAAACCTTATCGTCTAAATAATTATAGTTCATTTGTCGGCCATCAGTTAACTTTACTCTTTCATGTCTTTAAAATTCCAAGTAGTCATTAAAATATAGCACTTTCTAGTTACTGGTTTTATGATATCTTGACAGATTTAATCTTATTTGTTTTTCAGAGATGAAGCTAACGTTCGTAGGATGCATACTGCTGTTAAGTTGAATGAAGTTATTGTTGCAAGATCTCATAATGCTCAGTTAGTCATCTTAAATTTGCCGGGACTTCCAAAAACCACTACAGTGAAGGCGAATTGTATCCTTTATAATTAGTAACTGAACTTTTAGTACACATTCTTTTTTAAAATCATTCATTATATTTAATTTTTTTAATACATATAATTTTTTTTAAAAAAATGACCGCAATAGCCCTTTGTGGGATAGAGGAGTTTTGAAGGTTAAGGTTTTTTATTTTTGTTACCAATGGCATGATGATCGGGGTTGGTTTTTTGACATGACTCGTCAAAAACCTAACCTGTTAAAAAGTGTCTAAAACTGTTGAAACATGATAAAAACTGTCAAAGACCTGAATATAATTTCTTTTATGTTATTGAGGGACATTTTATTCGAAGTCAAGCTACATAACTTGTACCATAATTGCACTGTAATTATAATTTATATTTTTTAAATTATATAAATTTTTTATAGATATGAAAAATTTAGTCAAAATCATTATGAACTTTTAACTGTGTTTTCAAAAAACATACTATTTATACTTTAAGATCATTATTATTTAATATATTATAATTTTTTTGTTTAATATAAAATTGGTTGTGAAAAATTAAGATAGCTATAGCTTATTTTAAACCCCATTTATCAAAAAAAAAAAAAAAAAAAAAANTAATGACACTTTTTGGTCGATCCAGAAAACTGGGAAATTCAGACATCCGGGATAGCGATGGTCCCGAGCATCCCAGATAATTGGTTCTCTACTGTATAAATATTTCTTGTAATTAATCTCACTATCAATTTCACTGTTTTCTTTGCTGGTTTGTTGTTGTATTGTTGACGTGAAGCGTTTACATAGTTATCGATCGAACTAATCATAATGGTATTATCGATATCAACTGCAATATCGGCAGTATGTCGGTATTGCAGATAAAGTTCAATAAACAAATTCGTAAATTAAAATCCATATTAATAAAAATGTAAAAAAAAAATATGCAAGAAAATTTTAGCATATATTTTGAAAAGAGGGGAGGAGTGGGGGAAGGAGGGGAGGGCCCAAAAACGGCTATGCCTAGGGCCTACGAAAGTTATAATCCGGCTCTGCATGTAGTGACTTCGAGCATCCCAACCTTGATGATACGCAGGTCAGGTTGTCGGCTAAAGTGATCAACCCTTTTAGCAAGAATAATTTTGCCTAATGGAGTATCACCACATAATTTTGAGATAATTTTTGCAGTTTTAATGTGATTTATGAAACTTAGCTGGCTTTAGTTTCAGTTGATAATTTCAATTGATACTTCGATGCACTTGAGAATAAAAACTGTTATGTATAGTAAATACACTTCTGAATAATTTAGTTTTTGAAGGAAAATTTTTAGAAAAAGCTAACAATTATGACCTTAAACTCCCTAAAGTTGAGAAAGAAATGAAAAGTCTTCTACATATACTTTATAAACAAATTTTCTCTAATAAACTAATAAGCAAAGGCATATGGCGATGAAAAATGATTCATTATACTCAAACAATGTTTATACTTACAATTTTTATCAGCTCATCTAAATCTGACTTTGTCCTACTAATAGCCACAACTTCAGCTCCACATTCTGCAAGTCTAATTGCAACAGCACGACCGATACCTAAAAATTATCCTTATATATATTTCCAACCTTTATTCTTTTTATAATAATTTTTTAAATAATTCCATTCCTTTGTATGTACAACTTAATTAAAGGATACTTAAAATCATTAATACACAGTTGAGCGCCGATTATTCGAACCAATCGGGACTAAAGCCGATCTGTATATTGGAAAATCCGGGTAATTGGACTGCTTCTTATATTATTTGTAGCGCAGAGGATTTTTTTTTTTTTTTTTGTGCGTCGTAGAAAACGTAAATTAATTCGTAGTAATTTAAACATAAAAATGAATTAAACAATAAATGATGGAAGTACCGAAAAATATACACAAGGTGTTCCGTGAAGACTTCCCTTTGTATTTATTTTAAGGCTATGATGGCGGAATGATTACTATTAAGATCATTTGGATTACCAGATGACACATTTAATCGTTTTGTTTTTTCGCCATTTTTTTATGCATCCTCGTTTGTATTTTATTATAATTTAAATGTGTTTTTTTTTCTTTTTAAAATATCCATTACGTAAGAGATTACAGAATACTATGTATACAGTGTGCAAAAAAAAGAAAGAAAGGAAAAGAAAAGAAAGAACTACCCTGAATATCTTATGATCTAATGATCGGATTATTTTCACATTCTAGGAATCAATCTTAATGGCTCTAGGGGTCTTAATAGCTTGATGATATCAAATATGCTAATTAATAAATGCAGATGTTATTTCAGGCTATGAAATCAGTCTTAATAATGTACTTTCTAGAAATAAACATGCCTTTTATTTCAGCAGATTCGAACATCTGACCTCCAAAATATAGGGGATAACCGTTCGGGGAAATATGGTCCCCATAGCTCGGTCAAGAGAGAGCTCCAAAGTTGGGACCCAAAGTAAGGAATTTTACTTTATTTGTATTTCGCTATACTTCGAGAACTTTTTACTAAAGCAAAATATAACAAATAATGGTCGAAAAATTTTAGAATTGTAAGGTACATAAATGTTTGCTTAATTTTGAGGAATATAATTTTACATGGCAAAATACAAAATATGAGCAAAATCGGTTAAATAGTTCCTGAGAAATTGAATTTCAAATAAGACAAATATTTAAAATTTGATTGAGTTATTCAAGAAGTTATTCCGGGTGGTCCATTTTATTTTGCGCACTATACATTGTTTTGATTTTATTTGAAGATTTTGATTTTATTTTAAAAATTTTATTTGAAGCATTTAATACTGATGCATTGAATAAACTTAAAAAGATGCATTCTAAGTGATGTATGAATTATGAGTTTGTATAACAAAAATTACAATCAAAATATAAACATATTACCTTTGCCTGCACCAGTAACTAAAGCCCTTTTTCCTTCAAAATCAATATTCATATTATTAGCAAAAATACAGCTTTTCTAAACTAAAAAAAAAAAAATCAAAAAATTAGAATTATGTTCAGCAAAAGTTTGTAACTGAAATAAAATCTATGTTTAGTGCTCCTGTCGTCGAGTTCAAATGCGATTCCGATAAACTTTTCTTACTCATTCTTTCTACGTTTATTATTTAGTTTGTTTAGAAATAAACGAACTCACCAAGCCAGACAAGTAAATGAGATACAATTAATGGTGGCGCCATATTTGTTACAAGTTCCGTATTAAATAAAGCAGCAAGGAACTCATAATTAAAGCTATTGGCAGTGAGATACAAAATTAATTTGCTTAATAATTAATAATTTAAAATATTGAAACAATTCTAAACTCTTTTCAATTAAAAAAACTACAGTTGCTTCAGATTTTATTAATTTAATTGTTAAAATATTGAGATTATAACTAATAAAAACAAAATTTGGAAACAGATTTTTGCGTTTTATTTTAAAGTTTTAGAGGCTTTTAAAATATGTTTTTATTTCTTATCGGCTTTATTTCATAAGGATGAAAACTAAAACAATATTGCCTACAAAAATCAAGAAATTAATGATAAAAAAAGAGGATTGTATGTAAGAGCTTGCATGCATCTTTTTCACTTAAAATCAGTTTGAAATTTGAGTGAAATTTGCTTCTTTTCTTGCATATCAACTCTAAAATAAACATTTAATATACTACATAGATATTCAGTCCTTCAAAAAAATCCGAAAAGCAATTAGAGAAGTAAAAACATAATCATTTTATAAATTTGAATATTTTTTGTTTAAAAACAGTAAAAATCATTTTAATAGAGAAAAATTATATACAAATTTATTTCTTATCAAGATAAATTTAAAAAAAAACAAAAACATATAATGCAATACAATGATCTAAATATCGAACCGCACATACTTACTTGACTCTAAGATAAAGCTCTACTGTAACTCTGGTATGTCTCCTATCGTTAAATCTTATCAAGTAAACAATTCAACATTACAGTTTACTTTCAACATTTTCAAGATTTAAGTTCTTTATTCTCGGTTGCATGCACTTTTGAAGAATGAAATAAATGTTTTCTTCGTCTCTACTCACAAATTTATTAACTTTTATCGATTTATGACCCGCTCATATTTATGCCAGACAGGTGTACACTGTACAATAAGTTGTTCCAATGTCTACGCTTAAAGCAATTTTATAACCGTAATAAAACGTTATTTTCATATTTTCTCGAAAACACGTTTGTTGTTGGTTTCTTTAAAATAATAATAAAATAAAAAAATTACTGTTAAATGTAAATGTTATACCTGTTTAAAAACTTATCCACTTGATTGTGATCATTACTTAATTCATATCTATGCACGGCATAAAATTTATTTGTTATGTTAGAGAAATACTAAAATTAAAGAAAAACATTTAGTAAAATCCCTACAATTTACAAAAACAAAAAAAAAGTCAATTTACATTTAATCTTTTGAATGTGAAATAATAATTTCTCTTGATAATAGCAATAAAAAATAACAATATTAAAAGTAATCTTTAAAATTTCAATAAAAATGACTTAATTTTAATTTTTTAAGCGAAAAACTTTTTCCTTTAAAGATGTAACTTCAGAAAACAAAACAAAAATCTTGAAACTCAAGTTAAGAAACTCCTCAAATTTAGAGTAAAATTTCGAATTGTAAATTGAAACGTTAAAATTATCAGCTAAAAAACTATGAAATATTTCTTTCACTCATCAATAGATGACGCCACTACTGCAAAATCTTAAACTTTCGAAGAGGAAAAAACAATAACAACATCGTTAAATGATAAAGCGAAATAAGAAAAATCATGCGCTTTTTTTTTCCAGTTATGAATAAGTGAAAGTCATGGAGATCAAGTTCGAAGGTAAAATCGCTTTAGTAACTGGAGCTGGAAAAGGTAGGGTTACTATGTTTATTTAGATGTGTATATGTAACAATGTGTATACATAAAAGATTATAATTAAGTTTAGATTATCATAATACTCGAAATTATTAGAATACTTTATCATTTTCTCTTTTAGAGTTTAATTAATTCCAACGGGTTGATAATTACACCGAAGATTTATCTCGTTTTCTTAAAAATAAAGAAAACTACTCAAATAATGAGCCCAAGGGAGTAAGTAACAACAAAAAAGGATATATTTTAACACAACGTATACAGGAAAATTGTTACACGACGACTTCTTAAAAAATGTGTCGATCTCTTATTTCACAATATCTTTTTACTGTTACGGTTACAATTTTATTGACAATAAACGCTGCCATCTATCGGCGGTTCAACAAATATTTCCACAATGATTGATAAGACTTCATAAAACTAAGTAAATAAATTTATGATATAGCCATTAAAAGCTCTATTATAGAAGAAGAATATTTCAAAAATATTTTTTAAAAAAAAAACATTTTAAAATTCACAATCCCTGCAGTTATTGTGCTCTAAATATTTGAACTTGAATAATAAGATAAAATTGGAAATAATATTAAAATAGAAATTTATTTTTTCAGTTCACTTAACAGTTTTGCAATATATGAATAGTTTTTATTAATATATAACATTTAATATTATGTTCTTATATTCATAAATCGGGGATATGTGATATCAATTACGTTTCATTCTTATTAGTGTTTAAAATTAAGTGTTTAAAATTAATTGTTTGAAATTAAGTGTCTAGTTTGTGATGATCAGACCAACTTTTACTTCTAAATTGTTAAAGAAAATACATAAAATCCTGAGCATATAAATCTTGTCATAAAATCTAAAATAAATCTTGAGAGGGAAAATTTATCTTTAGTTTGAGAACGCTTTCTATTCTAGATTTGTGAATGATGATTGATCTTCGATTTCAGAAGGTTTTTCTGGCCTTGTTTTGTAAAGGCAGATTCAATCTCGATATAAAACGGTTTTTTTTTTATTCTAACTTAATGCAAACCTCATAGCGTGTAAACTAGAATAATTAGGTTTACTGTTGTTTCAAGCTTACATGGTTCATCTGCTTATCACTTACAAACCTTGTATGGCTCTGTGATAAAGGTTGTTGCTGAAATTAAAATGACCCTTACACTACTATCTAGGATTAATATAACTTGCCGAATATTTAGGACTATTACGTTACTTTTAACAAAAAATTTTAGTATTATGTCAATATTTTATTGTTTTTATATATGGAGAATTTAATATCATTTAATAACATATTGCATTTATCTTTGCTATAATCATTCCACAAAGGTTCCAATTTCAGGCATTGGAAAAAATATTGCTATAAAACTTGCTGAATGTGGCGCAGAAGTCATAGCAATCAGTAGAACACAGTCGGACTTGGACGATTTGTCATCACTTGTAAGTCTGACATAAAATTACAAGTAAGGGCTATACGCTTAAAAAAAAAATAAATAAATAAATAAAAAAATAGTTAATAAAATAAAAATTAACTCATTTTATGGCATTCCGTTACTTTTATTGTTTAGAAAGAGAAAAAAAACTAAAATAATTTTTTAAATATTTAATTTTACTGATTTTAATATACTTCTTATCGGTAATTTAATGTTGTCATTTTTTCGCATTTTGTCTATTGTATTGTTTTTTACTCTTATGTTATTCTGATACTATAAGGATTACCAAGTGATATTTAAATGTATATCTGGCTTTTAATTTGAGTAACCACTACCCGTAATATATTTTCAAATTTCTTGTTTAAAAAAAAGCAGAAAAAATCAATGCACAATAGAAGTCTCAGTTGTACTTATTGCAGTTTATTTACGTCGCACTAGAGCTGCAAATGTCTATTGGCGACGGTTTGTGAAGCATTAATGAGAATGATAGGAAAACACGCCATCATAATTTTGATCCTCTGCAGAGGGGATGTCTCCCCGCTTTGATAGTCTGATAACCTGTGAGCGAAGTCAAGCTCTTAAAAGTAGCACAGTTTAACGAAGACCGATACCCCACCCTCTCGGTCTCTTCGCCGGCTTATCAAAGTGGTCACCCACTCACTTCCCAACTACTGCCAATGATGCTTGGTTTCGGTGCTCCACTGGGAGCTGAGTATATACGATCAGTACACTACGTGACCTATAGGAGCATTATATTTCTCAGTCAATATTTCTTAAAGTTTGAGAACAATATTATTTTTCTCACTTAAATATTTATTTCCGGTCCCTAATATACGTTGTTTCCGCTTAAATTCTTATGACAATTGTAAACAGTAACTGTGATAATTAGGGAACAGCCAGTATCTGAGATTTGCATTTTTGATAGTGTAAATTGTAATTTGGCAAATAAACTTGCTTAATTAAATATTTACCGTGCAATCAAAATGCTTTGTTAAGTAAATCAAACTGATTAATATAAATTTTATATTTATTAAACTACGATTAGTTTTCGACTTAATTTTTTTTTAAAATGTAAATTGTTTACCAATTTATTTTTCTGAATATCTAGACCCTAATATCTTGTCTTTTGTAGAAAAACTTCAATTCATCCTTTACCAATAGTTAATTCGCTTAACTCATAACTAATTCTCTCCCAATTCTCCTTACTTATTCTAATATGTTACTTTTAATTTTCCTTTACCTAATTGCTATTTTAATAGTTTTCTTTTTACTAATTTTATTTTAATACATATACTTTCCCTCATTATTTTATTACTTTGGACAAACATTAATGCTATGCTTTAAATGACTTTTTATTTACGGTACGGATTTTCATAAAATGCTCTCTTAATATTCTGTTATATTTTCTAAGCAGCAAATCAAAGGTATCTCAGTAATTTGTTTTTAGCTTATTATTTGAACCTACTGGCTAAACGTATCTTTTTCAACACATTCAGATTATTGATACTCGAAGCAAAAGCTTCAGTTTATCTTAAAAGCTAGGAATATTTCATCTCAGTATAAAATTCATCTTCAAAATCAGAGTTTCACTCGTCAGCATTTGAACATTGTATAGGTATATAAATTACAAACAGACAACTTACATCATTTGTAATTCAAAGTAAATAGTTTGGCTAAAGAAATGTCACCTTTTTTATACAAATATTAATACTACATTACATTAATCATTATTTTAATATATGTAATATCGCATTGTATTAAAATAATGTGATATTACGTAATGTATTTATAATGTTAGCTTACATTTCACATGTAATATTAATAATTATTATTTTATTTTATAACCACCGATCAACAGACGACAGCACTCTGAGTTTGTAATTGTGAATGTTCAACTCATTAGCCTTATAAATTTGAACCTTTAAACCCAACCCAGAAGACAGGGGAATTGCTGGATCTAGCAATTGGTCAAACTAGCCCTCGTTGAGGGCTTTCTGTATAAACACGCATTTGCGTTACATGGCGAGGAAAACCACGGAATCCTCCCACGTTTAGCCTGACGGCAAGGGGACTCTTAACCTATTATCCGTCTACCACTGAAGATATTTTACGTAAGCATTGTGAATTCGAATTGACAAGCCACCGCTGGGATTCAAACTCAGTTCATATCATTGCAAGGCGAGCGCTCTATCCCTGAGCCACAACGGCGCTAATTAATATTCTTATTTTGTTTTATAACCGTCCTTGAACAGCTGAACAAATATTTGGGTTTAAGACTGCTAAGGTTCAACTCCGCAGTCTTGTAATTTTTAACCCAATTCAGAAGACAAGGGAACTCCTGGATCAAATATTGGGAGACATTTGCCTTCGTGGACAACTTTTTGACGGAACTAACCCCCATTTGCGTTACAAGGGGAGGAAAACCATGAAAACCTCCCACGGTTAGCCTGATAGCAAGGGAATAATTATTATATATTTTTTAATAATAAATATTAATATTACATGTAAAATAAATATTAAATTTTTTTAAAAAAATATTGCATTAAAAATATTTTAAAGGGTTACAATATTCGACCTATCTGTCTGGATGTTGGAGATTGGAATAAAACTCAAGCTGTCTTAGAAGAGTTGGGCCCAGTGGATTTGTTAGTGAACAATGCAGGTATTGCTGCTCCACAGTTAATAGGTGAAATAAAAGAAGATTTTATAAACAGGTTTATATAGTTTGTACATCATTTTTTTACTTAGTTTTTTTTGTGCTATAACTTTCAGTTATTTTTAATATTTTAATCTACAACTATCAACTTTATTAAATGATATGTCTTAAACAACATGTATTGTATTATGACCAGGGTTGGCAGGTTTTTGACATGTGACAGTTTTTGATGGTTTAAACCATGGTTTAAACCGTCACGTCAAAAACCTCACTGTCAAAAATGTCGAAAATGTCAAAAACCTATATTCATATGTGAAATTTAATTAATACATAAAATTTATATATTTTTTATAAAGGATAGTGTTTCTAAATATGTTCTAGAAAAAATAAATTTAAAATTTTGAAGAAACACTTATATTTTGAATAGTAACCAAAATCTTGTACTTTTGAAAGCTCACATCTTTTGTAATATTATGTATTCATTTTCATGTGTTATTGAAAATCTGCAGTGATATTATTAAGAAATTTATTTATAACCAAATTTAGTGTATAGTATAGATTATACTAAAAATTAGACATTTTTAAAGATAAACATTAGCAGTTTTGTACATTAGACATCTTTTAAAGAAAAATCTTTTTAATATTCTTTTAAATCTTCTTAATAATCTTTTTAACATAAGACAATACAAATTTAAGTGCTTTCTGTTAAATACACAGAGTAGTTAGTGTCGATTTACAGTATATTCAGCCTATTCATTTACTATGCTGAAAATTTAGTTTATCCAAATACTTGTGAATTTCATTTTGCTGAATACGATATAGTTTTGTTGAATATCTAAATATTCAGCTGTTGAATAATTACTTCTTGCTTTCAAGATATGCATTATTTGTATTCTTAATACAAGTGGAGAAAAAAAAATTAAGAGATAAAAATTGTTTTAAAATGATAAGTGTAATAATTATAAATAAATATAATAAACAATATGAATTATATTTATCATTATTCATAAATATAACTACTTTTAAATTCAAATTAACATACTGGATAATAAAGATATTCGGTATAACATTAAAAAAAAATTTTTATACACTTGTATCTTATATCAAGTTTGTATTTATACAACATAACTTGTAAGTTCCTTATAAATATTAGTTATATGTTCCTTATATGTCAAAAATGCATAGTAATAAACTTTTAATTTTCTTAAGTATCAAAAAGAAAAAAAAAATTTTTTTAAATATAAATATTTAAACAATTTTTGTGCAAAATTTTTCTGCACATGCATTTGAATATAAATTTCTGAGATTTTAAATCTGTTATTTTACCTTAATTTTAATTAAAAAATATTTTAAAACCTGCTGATTACCTATAGTATAATTAAATTTCAATATAATGCATGGCAACTGTTGGTAGTTTTGAAGTTTATATATTTTCTTGGCTAACTTCAGTTTTTGACGTTTTCGACGGTTTATACCAGTATTATACCCTTGTCATGTCAAAAACCACTTTTTGACGTCAAAAACCCAACCCTGATTATGACTATTTTCTTTTGAAACTCTACATTACAAATTTTCAATAGTTTATTATAGAGTTGTATTTTCAATATATATATATTAAATAATGTATTGAAAATATGATATTTTCAACTGCGACGAGAGCTTACTAAATAAATTTTAAGAATACTATTTAACATTTACTTAATCTTTAACAAATTGGTTTCTAAAATTCTATCTTCTTAATTTTTTTGAAACGGATTACTAACTGAGATTTATAGATCGCCAAAAGTGTTTTTTTTTTTCACGAATCAAACACTTTTTTTGATACGAAATATCATCAACATTTTTTCGTTTTTTAATAAAATTATTTCTGTCAATTTCAATTTACACTAAAAAAATTTTATATTTATTTAAAATAAAAATGGCTTAATATGTATGAAACTTTTACCCACTACAACTTTTATTATAACAATTAAGTATATATTACAATTTTTATGTAACAATTTTTTTACAATATAACAGACATACAAAATATTTTTAATAAAAGCGTGAAAACTATGATTAAAATAAAAATTTAAATAATAAGTATAACGATGAAATCTATAAGGGAAAAACACAAATTACTTTCATTTTTATTCCAGCTTGTTTGCAGTTAATTTTAATGCTGTTGTAAACATCAGTCAAGTAAGTTGTTTATTTCAAAATTTACAAGCTTATATAAGAGTTTCAAAATTTTAATAAATTCTAAGTGATACATTATATAAAAAATATCGGATTGTTTAAGTACAAAATATGTAAACGTAAAATATATATGAGTGATATATGATGAGTGATCGCCAACGTATGATAACATCTTATGATGTTATCGCATAATGATAATATCTTTCTATATTCTTGACACACATAAGGATTTTTTTTATGTTATTTGCTTTGTTTAATATTGGCCGAACTAGATCTATAACTTAATTGTTACATGCAAAGCTTTTTAGTATTTGGATACCAGTACGTTACGTCATCGAAGGCAAATCGCGGCATTTGTTGATTTAGAAGCCAATCAGGTTCGACACACACGCGTGACGTCACTTACAAATATCCAATAAAATTTGATTCATCACAATGCATGGAAATTACATGGTCAGGCCTAATCACTTCTCTTCTCGAATTGGGTACTTCAAGAAGAAGAAGATTTCGGATACCCACTCACTATGACGTCAACGCCAACTGATCGTTTATAAGCAAAATAGCATGTTGAAGTTGAGCTAAGTTTCCCCTTATTAGTTAGAATGTTAACTAAAGTTCAATTAATTAAAAAAAAAGAGCTGTATCGCTCATCGAAATTGCTGAAATAAAATTCTTTCTCGTCTGCGTCTTTTATTTAACTTGGATTTATTATTTGTTCAGATATTTTACTGTAACCGTGATAAAACTTTTGTTTTGTGTACCTGGCAACTTCGATGCATAATTAGTTTGTTTTTGTTCGGCATGACTTCGTGCCTGTCTTTGCGTTAAGTAAGAAATATATAGTAGTGAAAGAAGTGCAATATTTGTGAAAGAATCGTTGTGAAAGTACCGTCATTCGGGGCTACTTTGTGCAGCGGGGGCTACTTTGTGCAAATTCGAATTTGGCATTTTTCAAGTGCTGCTATTCAGTATTATGTTTATTTCACGTAAAAATTTGTGGAATTTGAAGATAGAAGTCTCTTCTATTACTACAAACATTTTTTTTGAATTTTAAAACAATCTCAGAGTGTGTTTTGTTCATCCAATGTCAACAATTTTCCGAGGACGTCGGATGTCGAAAAGTGTGCGTGGAAACTTTAGCTGTGAAATGCAAAGACGTTGATAAAACAATTGTCGTAAGTGCAAAATTTTTTATTT